AAATCAGGTCAGATGAACATAAAACATTCATAGCGTGGTTCCAGTAAAACGTCATCGTACTTTTAGAACTTATTCGAACTACGATGTGCAGATGATCTATTCTCTTTTCTTTTTTCTTTTTCTTCCAAAAGTCTGCGAAGATGTTTCACTACGCCGTGTGGACGAGGACGTGCGACTCGCTGTTCGTCGTCTTCGCTCTGGTCTTCCTGGTGACCAGGCTGGTGGTGTTTCCAGGCAGGTGAGGGCGTCGAGGCGGAAAATGAAATCCTCACATTAGGGCTCGATTCTCTTTATTTCTGTTGCATCTTTCAAAACCGGAGCTGCGAAGCGCTTCACAGAAACACACCAAGCAGTAGAAGGTGATGGTAAAACATCAGTGGAGCCTTTAGAAGAGCAACAAGAAAAGGGATCAGATGTTGTACAAACAGGTTTTTAACTGAGGAACTGACTGAAGGAGGTTCATCGGTCCAGGTTCAAAACAAAACCTGAGACTTTAAACAGCAGCTGATTCTTTGATTAATATGTTTTTTAAAGTTCTGAGAAAGGATCCAGAAGATGAAGAGATTTAAAGATAATCAACTGACTCTTAACATGAGGTCTGTACTGAATGGTGAGTTGGAATAATTTACTGGAGTTCTGAGTTTTGAATCAGCCGTAAATCATTCGGGCTCGATGAGTTTCAAGAGTTTGACACTGACAGTATTTTAGGGTTGAACCGGATCTGCAAAGCGCTGATCAAAGCGGAGGTTTTCCCAGGTTTCTGGCTGTTACGTTAGCGATAGCGCCTGAAATACGATCAGACACGTGATACGCTGATATCATGTGACCAGCGAGGTGATGTGAAGCTGAGAATATGTGAAGTGACACACGAGAGGCGAACGAATGAGCAGCGAGATCGTGAGAAATGATTTAAGAAATATGTGTCAGCTCATAAGTAAAGAGAACCTGCAGTGTATGAATGTGAAGCCGGGTTTGACGTCCTCGGAGCTTCAGTAAAAAGCAGCATTTTCGAAGATGTTTCACGACTTCTTCCGCCACCTGGTTGGTTCAACATCTCCAAGAACCTGAAGCAGAAGTCCAGCTACTTTTTACTGAGGCTTTACCAAAACCTGGAGAATCGACACAGACGTTAGTTTGAGGTTACTTCTGTGATTGGTGACGAATTAACGGAAAAACCTGAAGCTGCTGCCCTGGTTTGGTTGGTTCCTTAGAGGGAATAATCACTGAAAATCAGCACAAAGTAGGTCTGAGTGATGGAGCATTTCCCTCCTGATGCCTCCATCCACAGTGGAGTCATGCAAAAATGATTCAGTAGAAAGCAGCTGGACTCCTCCATTAGGTAGATCCTAGAACTCCTGTAACCTGGACGACTCAGAATCTGCTCGGTAATGTGAAAATAATGTAAATTATTGGCCTTTGGAGTCAACAAATATCAATTTAATGGGGCACAGAAGATAGATTTGGGTTGATGTGTTGGACATTACATCATCAGAATAATAAATGATGTATTTTGGGGCAAAAAAATGGTATCCCATCCCTCCAGTAGATATTTGGAGAATCAATCGGCATTTAAACACCTGACTGGAACACTTGATGTTGGCTTTTCCTTTAATTTGTCACCGTGGGGATGCTGGTGAACGACTCCTCTGACTTCCTCCTGGAGGTAAAACACTGAACCCGGTGGCAGTTTTTTTTCTTTCCTCGTTCCGTTGTTGTAAATGCAGTCGTGCAGGAACAAAGAGGCAGCAAGTGTGGGAGCAAAGACAAGGAAGAAGTAGAGAATGCATCATTAACATGCATTTAAAGCTGAATGAATTTTGCACATAGGCCTCCAGTAGAGTCCAGATAGTTGGAGAATCAATCAGCGTTAGAGCACAAACACCTTACCGAAACACTCTATCACTCGTCCGTCCACCAGACAGCACTAACGAGGGGATGTTTCAGTAGTAAAATGTCTAAAACTAAACATGTGTTTGCTCTAAAGCTCCAGAGTTTGGAGCATCGAACCAACAGCTGTGCGTTCTTGTGCTTTCCAGAGTCGTCCACACAACCCTGGTGGTGTCTCTTGAGTTCTTCCAGCCCTTCTTCGGCTACTACTTCTTCAACGCTCTGCTGCTAGTGCTGCAGGCGCTGCACATCTTCTGGGCGTACCTCATCCTGCGCATGGTCTACAAGTTCGTGTTCCTGGGCAAGGTAAGAGACTCAGTGACTGGGCGGCGGGTCGAGGAAAGCCGGGGGGGGATGCGGAGTTGTTCACGGTGTTTTTTTCTCCGCAGGTCGAACGCGACGAACGCAGCGACGAGGAGAGCGACGACGACGAGGAGGAGCCCGAGGACGACGGCGACGAGTGCAGCTGGGAGCAGAGGAAAGGCGCCATCAACTCCAAGCTGGCGTCGCTGGCCAACAACTGCGTCCTGAACAACCTGACCAACCAGAGGAGTATGAACAGCAGGCTGCCCAAAGCCAGATAGTGGAGCGGCTTCCTGGAAACCTCCACCGAGACCTTTTACCTTCAGCTTCACTGGTTTCTGTGCATCCAACACGGTCCGTCGATGATTTCAGGTCTGCATCCTGCTTGTCTTAAAAAAAATAATAATAATGCAAAAAAACAAAACCCACAGACGATTGTAGATCTTCACCACCAGGATGGAAACGCCATCACCTCGGCTTCACGCAGGAATGAATTTAGCAAAACAAGGAGATTCCTCACATCTGATCATAGTTTGTTTTGCAGATTTATTTTTTCTCTTTTCATTGTTTTATAACAACTCATTTGTAAATAACACTTTTATTTTCATTAAGAACAAGAAAATGATTTTATTTAAAAAAGAATGCAAGAAATGTCATGTCATATGTGCGCTTGAATATTTTAACGATTTAATTTAATTCACCCCCACACACGCATTACTGATTGTACATATAGAGGATTAAAAACACTGATTGTAGTAAATCTGTTGATAAAAACAAACACTTTTTAGACTATTTTTATGAATTGCTTATTTAAAGATTTTAACGTCAGAAGTCCCGCAGAAGTTCTATTTTTCTGACAGGATGCAGTCGGGTTGTGTTCGTAGAGTGTAAACGGCGCCCCCTAGTGCACGGAGACGATAGAGGAATGATGCCTTTTTACAAACTGATGCTACTGACTGTGTGTTTTGGTTTCTTTTTTTCTACTTTGTGACAGGCGGCATGATTTTCTTTCTCCTTTTGTTTTGTGCCTTGGCTGCTGTTTTTTTTTTTTAACTATTCTGTGACGACCGGACAAGGTGGGGAAGGCCTTACTGTGACTTTACTGTGTACATGTTTCTGCCTGGAAAAGCCATGAAAACGGGCATTAGGGAGAGATTTTAGGTAGATTATCTACAAATATTTTACATCTCAGATGAAGAAAATACCGTCTCAGAGAGCAGAGGTCTGATGGGATGTTTTAGGGCGACCGGGTCGAGCTCTAGCGCTGCACCAGGAATACGAGGTAACAGGATTTTACATGTGTTTATCCCACATAGAGTAAAATACATGCAGGCGTCTGTGCTGCTGCTGCTGCTCGACTCCAGATGTGTCACACAACATGTAACAGGTCGGTGACTGCATGTAGTGATCTTATCTGTACAGATGTGTGCGAGTAGAATCAGGGTTTAACGGCACTGAGGTGTGAAACAAAGTGGGATTTAAACTGAAGTGACACTAAAAGGGCTGATCCACTGAGTGACACACTTACAGACCCACTAGAACTTTTTTAAAAAAAAAAAAGAAAAAAAAAAAATAAAGCAGGAGAAAAAAGTTTCCGTAAACGTTACACTTGACTGTTATCTCACGAGTGCTCACGGATGCTCTGTCGGCCTGTTGGAAGGTTTTAATAAATTACTCCTGTTGAATAAATTACATTTCCTGCCTATGTGTTGATTCAATTCATTTTTAAGATTTTGTAAAATATGTTTTAGTTTTCATGTGTTTCACTCAATTGGAGTCTGTTTAAAGTTTTCTATCTTGCTGACATGTCCACGAGTTGTTTTTTAAAACGCTAGAAGACAAAAATGAGAAACTATTTGCTGTTATTTTATAGACTGATTTGTTGAATTACAGATAAAATCCAGTAAAATCCCCAAAAACGGTTTTCTGTACATGCTGACCCTTAAGAATGGTCCAAAACTGTAAATAATGTCCACAAATCTATATTTATACAAATAATAATTCATAAGTATTTTACATAAAACATTTTGCTTTATTTTACTGTATTTAAATTAGCAAGAAAATATAATAATTTTGCAGATATTTGTCACTATTTGAAAGAAAAAAGTATGTATATTGAGGATTGAAAAATTGTTATTTTAAAATTCTTCCCAGTTTTGTTAAATAAAAATTTTTAGAAAAAATCCCAGAAAAAAATATTAATTTTCATGTTGGTGATAAAGAGGTTTTTAAAAAATGGCTGTAAATAATATCCCCATCAAAAGTCTGTATTTTTACTAATTGTAATTTGTTCTTTTACAATATTTGATAAATATAAAAATGCTGTTTTTACTGCATTTAAATCAGGAAAAAAATCCTTATTTATTTATTTGCTGTTATTTAAAAGAAGAAGATATCCAATAAGTTTTCTAACTGATATTTTACAGATGTTTCCTGTTTTGGTAAATTACAGATAACATCTGTTAAAATCGTAGGAAAAAAATATTTGTTGACTTAAAAAAAAAAAAAAAAAAGTGGTGACACTGTTTGAAAAAAATCAGTATTTTTATAAATAGTAATTTGCATTTTTTCCGACTTTGACAGGAAAGAAAATTGCTGTATTTAAATCAGCAACTGTTTTACTTATATTTATGGTTTTGACAGTATTTTCCCTTTTTTTTTTAATGTACTTTTTCTGGCACCGTTACTGCCAGATGTTCAGAGCCTTTTGTTTTTATGGATTTTTTTCCCCCCAATGCAGTTTCCCAGTGTTTAAATAGAGTCATAGGTGAGCTGGTGTGCTCAGCGTGCACAAATGGATTCATAGATCAATCTACAGAAAGTAACAGCATCAAGTTACATCGAGGCCACAAAGCATTTAAGGCAGGAAGGGATTATTTTTAAGGGGAAAAAAACAACTTTTATATTACCTTTGGATACACAGAGGTGAGCTTTTAAAGATAAGGACTTTAGGAGAATTAAAGGCAACAAAACACTTTTAATGCATAAAACCACAAATGTTATCATCACATGACCCACCATCATGTGAGCATCCTCACGGTGACGCAGCCTCTGAGGGGAACCGGGCAGGGGATGGCCTCGTCCACCTGGATGCAGGTGTCTATGTAGGAGTCCAGCAGCACCATGTTGGGAGACGCCTTGTTGCTCTTCCTCTCGCTGAGCAGGTAAATCTGACCGGCCACGGTGGTGCAGCCGCAGAAGAACTTATTGTTCAGACAGTCCTCATCCAGCTCGGTCCACTCGTCGGTCTCCACGTCAAAACGCAGCGCCTGGCCTCCGAACAGGTAGAGGGCGCCGTTGAGTTCTGTGGCAACCAGGTCATATCTGAGGAAGAGTTTAAAGAAGGTCATTAACTTTTCTTTTTACCACTTTTATTTCTTGACAGTTGTTCAGACTCACTCACCTTGGGAAGGGAGAGTAGGAGACCACGTCCCACTGGTCCTCCTTGGCCACATATCTCTGGACTCCTGCATAAACTTCCCCGTTTTCATCCAGGCCACAGGCCACGTAGATGCAGGACTCCAGAGCAGCAGAGGCGGCCCTCTCCACGGCCCGGACCAGGGGGCTCACGGCCTCCCAGCCCCCCTCTGAGCCCAGCACCAGCCTCTCCACGTCAGCCACCAGGCCTTCGTCCATGCTGCCCCCCAGGACGTACAGCGCCGAGCCCAGGCCCGCCGAGCAGTGGCTGTGTCTGGACTTCTGCAGGGCCGGCCCGTCCAGCCAGCGCTGGTTCCCACATTCGTATATCCGGACCCAGTCCACGCTGAACCACAGAACGTCCCGGAAGTATCCGCCCGTCACGACCACACTGTCGCCTAGATAATGAGAAAAGAAATAAAAGATCAGGTTAACAAATGTTTGACAGTTCTAATTATGAATGAATAATTTATACCGGTTTAGACGTTGAGGCTGATTGTCTAGAGACGATCAACAACATCAGTTGTAGGAAATCTGTTGATAAACCACTTTTTATATTGTTTTTATGAACTATTTACTTAACAGGTGGTTTTATGTTTAGATTTTTTTTTTTTTTTTGCAATTTGCAGTTTTTTTTTTTTTTTTTTTGCAATTTGCAGTTTGCAAGTTTTCTCTGTTTCGTTAACTTACAGACAATACCTAGTTTTAAAAAAAAAACAAAAAAAAGTTTTTATTTATATGTTAACCCTTGAAAGCAGGCCAAAACCTAAAATTATCTTCACATCAAAATCTGTATTTTTACAAATTATATTTCTTTTACTATTTTTCAACATAATATTATGTATTTTTTATGTATTTAAATCAGTAAAAAATAGATAATTATTTTAAAGATCATAACAATTTTTGAAACAAAAAAATAATGTATAAACACTGTTTTATTGTATTTAAATCAGGTAGAAAAAATATATAATTTTGCAGATATTTCTGGTTATTGTCACTGGATTCCACCATTTTTTAAAAATGCATTTTACAGATATTTGTTGTTATTCAAAAAAAAATATTGTGTATATTAAGAATTGAAAATTATGAATATTTTTTGACTGTTGTTTTGCAAAAAAAAGTCTAAATTTATATGATGACTGTAAAAAAAAAAAAAAGAAGGCCCAAATTGTGGATCCACATCAATAAATTTGTTCCTGTACAATGTGTGACCAATACGTAAGAAATATTTGTATTCCTGGCACCCTAGCTGTCTTATATTCATTTTGATTTAGTCAGTTCACTTTTTAGAATAGAAACGTCGCCCCCCGGTGCACAAAGAAGAAAATATCTTTGTAGGAAAGAAACGCCAGAGTTTTTATTTCTCTACCAGACTTCAGTTTTGTGCCTTGGCTGCTGTTTTTATATTGTTTTGTCAGTTATTTTATTGGACAAACACATGAGAAAGGCCTGACTGTGACTCGTGTGAATGTTTTTGCTCAATAATTTGGTGACACTTGACGAAATCCTGCATTTACACACTGCACATGGAAAACAAATCCTCATTCAGCTCCTTTCTAACTATCAGTCTGATCACTATCCTGCTCTTCATCACTGTGAACCTGATCCAACATTACCTACTGCCGCTACAGAGTACTGGGTGAGGTTCTTCCTCTGCAGCGGTGCACAGTTCTGCCATCTGCCGCTGAGCGGGTGAAACTGGTAGAGCGGCTGTTGCTCCTGATCGTGAGGTCCTCCCACAACAAACAGAGTCTCTCTGGCTCTGGTTCTCCTCAGCGACCGGCCCATCGACCAGGACGCCGGGAAATGTTCGTTCAGCTTGCAGATGAGTTTGGCTCTGGGGTCAGAACTGTTCATTCGGGTCAAAAGTTCAGTGAGAAACGGTAACGACAGAGACTCAGGCCTCACCAGCTCAATGAGCTCCAGGAAGTCTTCCTCCCGTTTAGGGTCGAAGGCCACCCAGCGCAGGACGGCCTCAAGGGCCAGGTCGTCCTTATGGATGGTCAGGTCGTCGCTGGCCAGCAGATCTGCCAGCGCCTCCTTGGACAGTGACAGGAAGTCCTCCTCGGTGTAGATAGCAGAGAAGTGAGTGAGCACCACCTGTCTGGCTGCAGCGTAGAGCTGAGAGCATCCCAGCTGCCAGGCGAAGGCCATCATTCCCAGACAGTTACTCAGGTGCAGCTCACGCTCCAGGAACTTACAGCAGAGCAGCCTGGCTCGCTCCAGCTGCAAATAATCTGCCGTCTGAAGGATCCCCAGAACGTTTTTTCTGTCCAGGTCGAGGCTGCACGTTCTGCTGTGTTCCATCAAAACCCTGAAATGCTGCACGTTCACACCTTTGATCTCAACCCGCCTCCTGCTGCTCTCCACGCCACAGCCGAAGAACAGAGCCCTGAAGTAGGGGCTCTGGAGGGCCAGACGTCCTCGGTTCACATAGAAACTCTCTCCGTCCACCCTCAGAGTAACATCAGGGATCACATCAGGCTCGTTGGTGGTTGAAGCAGGTTCATCCTCCTCTGTTTGGGTTTCTTGTTCAGGGAGCAGAGTCAGTTTAAAGTTGTGAGGCTGCAGCTCGGCGTCGGCGATGCAGGCCATGTCACAACAAACTGGCCTCGCTCTGGTTTACAACACTTCAGCTGCTGGTATTAATAGACGTTCCTCTGACTGACTGACACAATGTGGAAAAGGAGGTCAGCTGCTGCTAACACAATAATAAAATATGTTGTTATTCCAACAGAATGCCAAAAGATTTAGTATTTATCTCTAGTCGTTTTAATTATTAGACTAAATTTAATAAAATTAAACTAATATTTAAAAAAAATAACCTACTGACGTCAGCTGCAGGCGCTCGACGATTTGATTGGTGGAACATTTCTGAGGTCACAGTTTAACTTCCGTGTCACACAGAAAACATGGCGGTGAGTTCGGACGATTTTCGCTTCCATTCAAACAACTTTTTAGCTTTGAACGCATTCATATCGCCAGAAATGTTGTTAGCAAGTCACTGAGTTTATTCCGAACACGACCTGAGGTGCAGAGCGGCTTCTCGAACAGAACATGTTGTGTTTTTCCTCACGTTTTGCTAACTTGGCTAGCCGCGCCAAGCTAACCTCAGGCTAAGTCAGTGTTTGTTAGCGGTTAGCTTACATGTGATTTTAAAACAACGTGACTGTGATTTCTGCAGGATAAAGAGAAGAAAAAGAAGGAAAGCATCTTCGACTTGTCCAAATACATCGACAAGCCGATTCGTGTGAAGTTTCAAGGAGGACGAGAAGGTAGGAGGACAGCTAACAAGCTAAAGCTAACCAGGGGCCTGGTTTATACAACCAGCTAAATAAACACACCAGGGCTCGTTCAGCTAGTCTGAGTTAGTTTTAGGTTATTTCAGCTCAGATTCTAGCAAATTAAAACTAGTCCATGCTCAGTTAGTCTGGTAATTCATGCTGGGGAAAGTCACCTGGGCTAAAGCTGGTTAGCTGTCAGGCTAAACCTCAGGTGAATCTCTGCTGTGAAGCCATATGATTTGACTTTATTTACTAGTTTTGATCCATAAATCGAAGTTTACAGAAAATGTACCCAAATTAGTAATAACTGCAATGAATTACTCACAGATGCATGATAAAATGTTGATTTTGTTTATTGATATCAAATATTATGCTACTTAAAATAAGTCTTAATCTGAATTACTCTAATAAAATGATAGCAAATAGTTAACAGTCTAACTGCAAAAAACTGAAGCTGTATTATTATGTAGAATATAAACTGATCTGCCTCTATCATCTATTTTCCAAATAGGAATAAATGTGTTTATTGATAAATTTATAACCGTCTAAAAAGTGAACTGAGTGTATCCTATGAGTGAAGATGTAGTCTTGTGATTTAATATAACTTCTAATTAGTCTGTGCATTTCTGTATAATTTACTCTTAATAATCTACAAGTTTTCTGTTGTTGCTGTTCGAATCAAAGCTCACTTTATTTAAAAAATTTGTCAAGCACCTCATTTATCTTTTATTTAATATAAGAATAAGTCAACTGCTGAGAGTGAGGTTATTTTCTGATGTTATACCATCATGCTTCAGGTGCTGATAGCTAGAGTGTCTTATTAAAGTGAATCAGTGATGAATCATTTTACTAATCAGTGACAGCCTGATTTCACGTGTGATCCATGACGATAAAGGTACAGAACTGCTTTGTCTCTGTTTTTGTTTATGACAACTGAATGATGTTTTTTTGGTTGTTAAATATTTGAATTCTTCACATGTTTCTAATAGCAGTCGCTGCTTGGTGGCTGTAAACATCACAGCTCTCCCTGTTTTCACTGGTGAATCATTCTGATCCTTGTTTGATCTCTGAGGCAGCTTAAGAATAAGACAATGATCTTGACTGCTTTACCCTGTGCCATATTACCCGACTTTACCGTAACAAAACCGCTTTAGCCCCAACTCATTTGTTAAGTTCATTCAGGTCAGTTGTTGGACTTTCATCCCCACTTTGTTTAGCGTGCTTCATGGAACAGGTCCCAGTTCAGCCAGTGGAAGCAGAACATGATTGGGCTTTATTGGATTGAGCTTTACACTGTGTGTTTGCTTCTCAGCCAGCGGCGTCCTGAAAGGGTTTGATCCTCTACTGAACCTGGTGCTGGACGGCACCATCGAGTACATGCGCGGTAAGTGAAGTTATTTAAAAGTCAAACTACTGCAGATAAGACAAGGTGGGTTTAAGTTTAGGACTTTGACGGCTGAAACGAAGATGCACTTTGCTGCAGATTTCATGCAGCTTATCCTCCATTTCCACCATCTGACTGTTGCCAGTTTTAAAATCCTTTACAAACAGGATCAAACATTTGGTTCGCGGTGCCTCGTATCTTAAAGGGTCCACTATGTGCAGTGCATATGCCGATATGTAAAGTGCTACCAGATTCGACTTCAAGGTTTATCTGCTGTTTTTGAATTTATTTCATCATTAAAAATGCGTCTTAACCCCCACACTGCTGTGCTTTTTGTCATAAAGGTTAAACACATTAAAAAAAAGCCAAATGGTTTGTATGTGCCACAGTCAGTGGGTCGGTCCGTGTCAGTTGGGCCAGAATATGTTGCTCCACCATCTCTTGTTTTGTTCAGTTGACCTATATTATTTGGGACAATAAAACTAAGTTCTGTCAAAATATTTTGGCTCAGTTCTGACAATTTCATATGTTTTCATACCTTAGATTTTTTTGTATTTTCACTCTTAAAACATCTGACCTGGGAGGACATTAAGGGTTCGGCATCTCCAGAAATTAAACTCCCAGACATAAAATTTGGTGAAGACACAGACGGAGTAGTTTCCAGTAGATCCAAGTTTTGATTACTGGACCTTTTTGAAAAGGGTTAAAGGGTACAACATTTTCAAACACGGTTGGTATTTGGGGGCCTAGAAAAATCTTGTAAGTGTGTAATACAGAATTGTACCTGAAATTCTTAAAAATCAGCCGAAACAAAACAAAATCTGAGCGACTGGAGCAACACTGCTGTCAGCAACGACACAGACGGACACCAACATAAACAGCAAAGTTAGTTATGAGTCCCAGTTTTAATTATAATGCATAAATAATGCAGCAGGAACTGTGTTTGGCTCCATGTTTCAGTTTAGATTTAATAACTGGTTTTAAAAAGATGTGCATTTGAATTCTGTTGTACCTCTTGTGCGTCCAGATCCAGACGACCAGCTGAAGCTGACAGAAGACACCCGGCAGCTGGGCCTGGTGGTCTGCAGAGGAACCTCCGTAGTGCTAATCTGCCCCCAGGACGGCATGGAGGCCATCCCCAACCCCTTCATCCAGCAGCAGGACGGCTAGCAGGACGGCTAGCACGCCGCCTGAGCCGCACACAACCAGTCACACACTTGAACGTTATGTTTTTTTTGAATTTCTTTTGTTTTAACCATAACATTGATGATTCAGCAGCAGTTTTTCTTGTGTTGCGTTTAATCAACAAAAAGACATTCGAATGCACTTCACTTTTATTTCTGTCTGTGGCGTGCAAGTTTGCAAAGATTTGTGTTGTAAAGAGCCCACGAGTTTGGGAAGTGTTAACAGTACCATTTTCTTTTTATCTAGAATGAGTAAACTTTTTACTATTCTTTGTTGTTTTGATAAGAAAATAAAAAAATGAAAATGTAGTAAATTCTGGGTAAGTGTTGTTTTTCCTTTATTCTCTTTTGTTCTTGTTCAGCGAGAAAAATAGTGCCGATATGTGGGATTCAGAGAACGCTGACAGTTGCATCAACATCTGATTATTTTTCATATGCAATAACTTCAGTATATTTAATGAAGCCATGCAAAGTTTTACCTTCATGCTATGATTTTTTTCAGAGTTCCAGGCTCTTGACGTCCACAGAGGTGAGTCCAGATGTTGTGCTTTTTCATTTACTCCACACATTTCTGTGAGTACAGAAGATGGACAGATGAAACTTTCAGAGATCAAAAACACATTCGAGCTCTGATAAAAACTGCAAATTAATTTTACATCCACACTAATCTGAAGACAAAGTTTTTATAGATGAGCAGCTCTGAGCATCAACAAACCTGCAGCAGTTTAATGTCAGAAACAATCATTGGTTCCTTGTTTTCAGATAGTTCACTGGAGAAAACTAAAAAGTCCAGAAATGATTCCTTCTGTGTGAAATATATTTTAACACTCGTGACAGTATCTTCTGGCTGTGATGTGCAGAAACAAGTTTAGTGTTTTATGAACCAGTTTAGACATAAATCACTGATGAAACTAGTCTGCAGCATTCAGAGGTTGTGTGAGAGTTTTTCAGATTCTCCTCTTATAGTAAGAATAAGAATCTTATTGTAGGAATCTGGGATGCCAATGACATCACAATGTGAGGGACGGCTGGGTTGATATTTGTGCAATACGTCTGCATCCCACCTGAGTAGAGCAGCTGTCGTCTGAACTGTCACTGGAGTTGGAAACGCCCTTTTAAGAAGCGATTTCACATTAATTTTTGCACAAAATTACCCATTTCTCCTATGTTTGTTGATTGTCAGTTTTAATTTGTTGAGTAAATAGAACGTCTGATTGGTGTCACAATATCCCTTTGTCAGAAAATAGATTTGCCCCTGAAGGAATCCAGTTTAGAAGATGATCCTGGTGTTGGAATGTTGGAATAAATTATCCTTTCATTGTCTAGAACTTGTTCTGACCAACCACCATCACACATGAGCCGTGGAAGTTTACCCAGAATGCACTTTTTAAAAGTTTTCTCTGGTGAATGATCAGAACACACATGTGTTTATGCACATAAACAGACATTAAACAGCTCAAACTATGATACATGAAATGAAATGAAAAATACTTTATTTATCCCAGAAGGGAAATTCAATAATGCACCCCATAATATTGATGCTAAAAGTTGGTTAGTTAAAAACTGATGACATTTTGTGTTTGTAAAACCTGCAGTGGCTGTAAATTTGGTTTTTAATAGAACTCAAATGTATGTTGTTTTTTGTTTTTTTTTAAATCATTTAAACTGTCACATGTCTATTTTCCGGGCTGCAAGGTGGCGCAGTTGGTAGCACTGTTGCAAGAAGGTTGCCGGTTCGCGTCCCGGTGGGGGCACCGGAATCTTTCTGAGTGGAGTCTCCATGTTCTCCCCGTGCAGCGTGGGTTCTCTCCGGGTTCTCCGGCTTCCTCCCACAGTCCANAAGTTTTTATAGATGAGCAGCTCTGAGCATCAACAAACCTGCAGCAGTTTAATGTCAGAAACAACCATTGGTTCCTTGTTTTCTGATAGTTCACTGGAGAAAAGTCGAGACATGATTCCTTCTGTGTGAAATATATTTTAACACTCGTGGAAGTATCTTCTGGCTGTGATGTGTAGAAACAGGTTTGGTGTTTACATGTTTTATAAAACAGTTTAAATCACTGATCAAACCAGTCTGCAGCATTCAGAGGTTGTGTGACAGTCTTTCAGATTCTCCTCTTATAGTAAGAATAAGAATCTTATTGTAGGAATCTGGGATGCCAATGAAATCAACATGTGAGGGACAGTTGGGTCAATATTTGTGCAATACGTCTGCATCCCACCTGAGTAGAGTAGCTGGAGTCTAAACTGTCACTCAAGTTGGAAACCCTCTTTTAAGAAGCGATTTCACATGAATTTTTGCACAAAATTACCCAATTTTTTCCTGTATTTGTTGATTGTCAGTTTTAATTTTTTGAGTATATAGAACATCTGATTGGTGTGAAAATATGCCTTTGTCAGAAAATAGTTTTGACACAGAAGGAATCCAGTCTAGAACATGATCCTGGTGTCAAATGTAGGGAAAAAAACGATCCTTTCATTGTCTAGAACTTGTTCTGACCAACCAGCATCACACATGAGCCTTGAAAGTTCACCCAGAATGCACTTGTTAAAGTTTTCTCTGGTGAATGATCAGAACACACATGTATTTATGCACATAAATAGACATTAAACAGCTCAAACTATGATAAATGAAATGAAAAATACTTTATTTATCCCAGAAGGGAAATTCAATAATGCACCCCATAATATTGATGCTGAAAGTTGGTTAGTTAAAAACTGCGATGATATTTTGTGTTTGTGAAACCTGCAGTGGATGTAAATTTGTTTTTTAACAGAACTCAGATGTGTGTTTTTTTTATCATTTAAACTGTCACGTGTCTATTTTGCTGCACTAATGAAGTTATGAGGCTGAAATATGGTGGGAAAGTAACAGGAAATAAAATTCACCATTTAGATCCACCTCAGGGGCCTGAAAATATTCATAGTATAAAAGCAGAATCTTGCCTGAGTTCTTAAAACGTGTTGTAGATAAAACTCTGGTGATTCTGAGGAACTTCTGTCAGATCTGGTTAATTTTATGAAGTAACTGCAGTCTGTCCTCTGGTGGTTTGTACTGATCTTCTCCTCTGCTGCTCATCGCTGCTTTAGTTAGTCCTGGAAAAGGAGAATTTATTGATTAAATAAAGGATAAAACACATTGTTTGGCTGCAGCTAGTTTACATCAACAAATGCTGTCATATAAGAATGACTTAAACCAGCTGATCTGGGTTCAGCTCCATCCTCTGGTTTTGTCCTAACAGAAGAGTTCGATTGTGATCTTTGAACGTGTTTAAAGGAATAAAGGGAGTGTGTGTGTGTTGTGTGTGTTCTGTGTGTGTGAAGATAAGCTATTCAAGCCTGTCTGCACACTGACAAAGACACATTTGTGGTTTTAAGCGCTTTGACTTGAAGCGCTTTGAGCTGGGTGGAGGAATCATGTAAGTTTCCTTTGTTTGGGTTGTTCTCTGGGAGGAATTCTTGTGCGTCTAAACTCATCCCAATGCTGTGAAACGAGCTGTTAGAGCAAATTAGTTTAACTTATAGTGTAGTTTGTTAGAAGAAAACAACCTGAGGTGGGTCACTCCAACAGAAAATGTCAGACTCGTGATTAAAGCGTCCTAAAATGCCACTTCTCCTGTCAGAGTCAGAACGAGGCACCTGAAGCTGTAATGTTGGTGGAAAGGCCTTCATGGTTTGCCAGGTGTTGTGAGTCCAGGACCTGCAGCCAGGAATAAAAAAAGGCAGAATTCCAGGAGGCTTCGCTCCTCCTCTGCTGCTCAGTCACTGTGTCAATGGAGCGCAGGCCGGCAGCACCCAGAGGCTCCGAGCGCCGCCGGTGACCACTTTTACGCGTCTTTATTTCGCTCCCAGGATCCGCTGCTGTCCGGTATTTACCTGCGGACTTTGGCGGCTCTGCTTGTGCACATCGGGGTGTGACCGAAGGGATCAAGGCGGATGGAAGGAGGGTCTGCGGGGGATTTGTGAGGCCGAGTCGCCTTGTTCAAACAGACGGAGGAGGTGAGTTTACCTGCGGGACGCGCACGGCACGCCCCCCGCCAGGTGGAACAAATAGCTGTCGCCTCCATCCGTCCACCTGCTGCTGAGGACTGCGGAGAGTCGTGAATGTCAGCGTTCAGAGCGATGAGAGCAGAAACAGGTGAGTCTCCCTCCGAGCATAAAGCCCGGATTGTCTCGCTGTCCGCGCTGCGCCGCGTCCGGAGCCGCCGTGCGTAATTTACAGACACGGTGAAAGTCTCCAGCGTCCATTCGGCCTTTCTGTTCAACTTTGGGGGAAGTTTTCTTCCTCTTTGCGGTGACCTTTTTCCACATCTGATTTGTGGCTGCCAGGCAACATGGCCTCCTCGGTGTGTTTTACGCACAGCCGTAGAGCTCCAGTCTGAGCCAGAGCGCCCGAAACAAGCTGCTGCTTGATGTTTCTGTGTCGTTTCTGATCTTTAACGCGGAATTCACACAGACTATAGTTTTAGTCATTTTCTTAAACTATTCCCTAATGCCTTGCACCACGTTCAGCTTTAGAATATTGTTGTGTTTGTGTAGTTTTTCGCGTTTTTTGTGTGTGAATCTCGAAACACTACATGGTTATTAGTAGAAAATCCAAATCCCATTTAACTAAATAGTTTATTTTGATTTAATTCTTTTCTATTCTGGTAATACAGCTGTGTTTTTCTCACCAAAAGTAAAGCTGAACAGAATTAGTCATATAGATGTTTGGTTTACGCATATGGAGAGTTTTCTTTTTAGTAAACTGCATGTGATGGACTGTAATTACAAATTTATGAATATGTACTGTATATATATTCATAAATATGGAAAAAACTGTGATTGTATAGATTGTTTGATCATGTTGCACAACAATAATTACTGTCTGACTCCAGGAGATGCCATTAAAATCAAATCAAGTTTATTTGTATAATGCCTTTAAAATGACTGCATGCGATCAGTCAGGCAGCAACAAAAACGTGCCAAAAGCAAGACAGGACAACAACTTGTAAGATTCATTTCTGACTAGCAACATGTATGTCTTTATTTTTCTTTAAAGTTTAAATGAAGGAGAGTTATTTGATTGAAAGAAGAAAATTATTCCAAAGACACGACCTCCCGCCGGCCTCAGCAGTGGAACAGATAAAAGCTCTGAGGTCTAGAAGTTCAGATATGTCCCCAGGATGGCTTTATAAACTAATAAAACAACTAATAAAACAGATCAGTCTTGAATTTAACAGGGAGCCAGTGCAGAGATGCTCATACAGGAAGGATGCTTTGCAATTTGTCTTGAGCTGCTGCACAGTGAAGGCTGGTCAGTGCTCAGGAGTTTAGCCTTGATGGGATTATTCCAGTGGTCACGGTATCCATGTCAGTCAGACAGAGGAAGGATCTTAGTTTGTTTGAGTTAAGATTCCTGCATGAACACGACTGTAGCGTCTCCCTGTAGTTTGTTGGAGGAACCAATCACTTCAGCTGGAGTCAGTTTTTGTTCATGAAGACTCGTGTTGTGTTTTTTCTTCTCCCCAGGCCTGGATCCTCGAGTCTCTCAGGCGTTATGATGCAGGTCGACTGTGTGTTGTGAGGTTGGTGCTGTGAGTCCAACATGGAGGTGAAGAAGGATGGAGGAGGAGGAGGAGGAGGACCGTGGTCGTCTCCAACAGCTCCTCCGGCTCCCTCCAGCCCGGCCTGCTACAGGGGCTCCCTCATAGCCTTCCTCCTCTTCTTCCTCATCATCGGCATCTTTGTCGGCCTCGTTATAGGTGAGTACGATGAAGTTCATGCTTTATGAACTCACAGGTGTGAGATCTTGTGAGTTATTTTCTTTTCTCTCCCCGCCAGCGTATCTGGTGCAGGAGCAGCATTACTTCATGGAGACGGTGGAGCTGAAAGGTCTGAAGTACGACGCCGCTCTGCAGGATGAGACCTCTGGGTTCTCCATAGTACTGTCCTCACTCTTAAAGTCCAAGGTTGGTGCTGGTTTGTAGCTCAAGAAGGTGTCTGTTTCTTCCCAACCCTCAGCTTCTGGCATCAGTTTGTGTGTCTGGTTTGGTGAATTCAGCTTCTTTAGGATCACTGGATCAGAGTGAATCCAAATCACAGAACAGAGCTGATAACTAATATATTATATCAGGGTTATTATTAGAAACAGCTTGTTGTTCCGTTGCTGATCTAAAAAATGTCAGAATGGTGAACAGATGCAACTCGTTTTAGATGTTCGACCTTGTTTTTAATCAACATTCACTGGACAAAAACTGGAAGATCTGCTTTTAGTTTTCATGGAATTCTTTAGAAACTGATCAAATTAAATTAAGGATGCAGCACAAATCATTAACGTTCTGCTGATTTGTTTCTCATTTCTGGATCTCGTCTCCTTAATTAGCTGCATTTCCTGTGTTGTTTTATGTTTTCTTTACCATCCATCTTTTGTTATTTTCATCCTTTTAGACTGTTATTCAAACATAATTTAACTGTATTGGCCTGTTTTCTTCTACTGTACATCCTGTATTGCTTCCTTTTATTTTACACTGTTGTTCAAAAATCATTTAACTGTATTTCTATTCAATTTTGGGGGATTTTTAAAATAGTTTCTGTGCATCTTTCCTTCCACCCTTTTCTATTTCACCTTTCTGAGTCATTTTCAACAGTTTTAAACTCAACAGCATTGAAATTAAAGTTGGTCCTCAATGTTTTTTTTTTAAAATGAGAGCTTAACATTTCCTCTTCCTGCTGTTTCAGATTAAAAATGTCTTCACTGCCTCATCTATATCACATCACTACGTTGATTGCAGTATTGTTGCCTATGGGTGAGTGGAAACCTGAGCTAAATTCATTTATTTGAACCAAAAACAAAAAAAAGTTGTCTGAGATATCTCCGTCTTCCCAGTAACATTAACGGGGACGTGATGGCCACCTTCAGACTGGTCTTCAGGGTCTCCAAGATCCAGCAGTATTCAGACAACTTTGTGCAGGACTTGCTGAGGGCAGGACTCAGCTCGGCGATGCACGGGAAACCTCTGGAGGTGCCGCAGTTTGGCCAGATCAGCGCTATCGTCTTACTGGGTAGTGAAGCTTCACCGCCGTCAGCCGACTGTGCTCCTGCAGACTCTCGGCCTTTGTTCACCACTGGTCTGACGGTTTTCTCCTCCTTTTCCCAGGAGCCAGCGGGAAGTCGTTCTATGTCATCGGAGACGATCTGACGGGTGAGTAAAGATTCATCAGCTTTTGTTGCTTAGAATACGAGTTACATGTTTAATATCATGCAAATAAAAGGACTTACCCCACATGAAGTGTTGGCTTTTCATGAGCCCTCTGAGTTTTGTGCAAAAAAAAAAAGCATTTTCAGGTAATTCAATGGATGTAAAAATGTATTTGTGTAGATTAAAAAGTAAGAATCTTCTCTCCATTGTTTATCTAGAAAACACAGGCCCTGACTTCTTTCAACACTTGCCTGTATTATTTATTATATTGTAAACAATGCTGTCATTTCCTACTTTTGCTTTTTTACTATGCTTTTTTTTGTCCTACTGTGTCAATTCAACAGCTTTATTTCTCCATCTCAGATAGATAAGGAGAAGTAAATTATTCATTAGTAATTATGTGTTATAAAGTAAAATATTTTGGTGGGATTTTGATCATTTTACATGTTTTCAGACCTGGAATTTTCTATATTTTCCTCTTTAAAAAACTCCCTCCCTGGGAGGACATTTTTAGGGTTCAGTACCTTCAGAAATATTTCAACAGATATTGAATTTCAACTTGAAGACAACATGGAAGCAACCTGTAGCTTTGTACATATAATAATGACAAAATAGAAACCCCCTGTGAATATCAGCTTCTGTCACCATCAGCGTTTTGTCAAAATAGCAAAAAAAACTGGAACCTTCTCTTGTCACAAATCAAACTCTACTGATGTCAGAGGCCTTAAAAGTTGGTGAAAGACTGTAGTTTAGCAGGAAATATGGATCCATCCATATATATATATATATACACACTTAGAGGAACTTTCTGGAGCCATAATACCATCCTTGATTTTTTTATTTTTTGCACTTTTATTTATTTTTATATTTTTAAGGTCCAATAATTAAAATTTTGACTGCAGCAGAGAGTAAACCCAAATTTGGGTCGTTGGATCTGCTGCAAACTGTTCTGTGTCCTCATGTCATGTCTGTAGGAGTTTGATTCTGGAGATGATATTCTGGAGCTGTTTGTACTTTAAAGTGGATTCTCTGCTAAGATGCTTCCATCAGAGGGTGAAAATACACAAATTCACAAGTCTGGAAACATGAAATTGTCCAAATTCGGCCAAAAAAATATTTTTACACAACTTGAAATGATAAATAACTAAACTCTGAGATGCTGCAGCAACATAATTCTTGAACTCTCTCTGAACTGACTGAACCTTTCAGTCATTCATTTGATAGATTTGATAGATTTTATTTATTTATTACTCGTCTTAGAATTAATTTAATTTGAAATTTCTCTATTTATTCACCTATTTACATGTCATTACTTCATTTTCTAATCATTTTTAAAAGTGTTTTTATAATTTTTGACTTCTATTTCTATCTTCAGTCATTTTATTTTATTCTATTCATTTGTCCAGCTTGTTTTATTTCATTTCTCTCTCCTGGTGTTTCCTCGTTGCACATGTTATGTAGGACAGCGTTTCCTCAGTTCTTCAGTCTTTGTGTTTTACAGTCTTTTACTGATAACTTGACTGTTGGGGTTCTGGTTGTTTAATTTCATTTCATTTTCATTAGTTGAGCGCTTTGTGTTGCATTTCTGTTTGTATGAAAAGTGCTTTCTGGATAAAGCCTGACTGATCCACTGCCTCTCTCTGCAGCCAGGTGTCCTGACAACGTCTTCACCTGCGATAACGGAGAATGTGTCACCAAGTTAAACCCCGAGTGCGACTTCATCACCGACTGTGCCGACGGATCTGATGAAGCTCGTTGTGGTGAATCACTTTACTTGTTTCATGATAAACGTTTGTGGCTACAGCAGACTGCAGCAGGATAAACTAACTACTCCCCGTCTTCCCTCCCCTCAGCCTGCGGGACCCGGCCGGCCATGGGGAGCCGGGTGGTCGGGGGTGAGGACGCTCGGCCGGGGGAGCTGCCCTGGCAGGTCAGCCTGAGGTTTCACAACCGACACACCTGTGGAGCCTCCGTCATCAGCGAGCGCTGGCTGCTCAGTGCAGCTCACTGCTTCGAGAGGTGGGCAGCAGCCGGTCTGGATTCAACCGCTGTGTTTGAATAAAAGAGTCTCAGATTGTTTTCTTGATGGCAAATCAGAGGTCAAGTTTTGATTATGAACCAGGAAGTTACACAGAAACCAGAGGAGAGCATTTTTATTTGTCTGTGTTTCTTTCTTGGTGTCTTTATTTCACTCTTTCTGTCTTTTTCCTTTCTGTTTGCTTTTGTCTTTTCTTTCTTTCTTTCTTTCTTTCTTTCTTTCTTTCTTAGTTTCTTTCTTTCTTTTCTCTTTTATTTGTTCATTCTTTCCTTTTTTGCTTATTTCTTGCTTTTCTTTTTTTCTTGGTGTCTTTATTTTACTCTTTCTGTCTTTTTCCTTTCTTTCTTTCTTTCTTTCTTTCTTTCTTTCTTTGCTTATTTGCTTTTTTCTTGCTTTCCTTTTTTTCTTGGTGTCTTTATTTCTTCATTTCTTTTTTCTTCCTTGTTGCATTTTTCTATTCCTCTTTATTGTTTTTTCTTTTTTGCCTTCTTTCTTTTTTAATTTCTTTCTTTCTCTTTTCTTCTTGCTGTCCTCCTTTGTTTCTTTCCTTCTTTGTTTGTTTTGTCTTTCTTCCTTTCTGTCTTTCCTTTTTTTGCTTTTTCCTTGCTGTCCTTTCTTTCTTCCTTGTTGCATTTTTTATTTCTATTCTTCTTTTATTGTTGTCTTTCTTTTTTTTGCACTCTGTCTTGTTTAATTTCCTTCTGTCTCTTTCCTTCTTTCTGTCCTTCTTCTTTGTTTCTTTGTTTTTGTTTATATTTCTGATCTCATGTTATTGTCACTAAAAGATCAATTTGAAGTTTTCATTTCTAAATCAGTAAAGAGTTTTTTTTTTTAGAAATAAATACCTGAATTCTGCTTTTCCATTAATTAAACTCATAACAAGTAAAAAGATTTCTTGCAGCATCATGTGTTGGTGGTCCTATGTCATAGAAACCCACCCTGATTTGTGACCCGTCCTCTCTGCTTTCAGGGACAGCGACCCCAGAGAGTGGACGGCTCTGGTCGGGGCTCGGCTGGTCAGCGGCCAGGAGTCCGAGTCCAAAACCATCAACATCAAGTCGGTGCACGTGTCTCCGGACTACAATCCCATGACCACCGACAGCGACGTGTCGGTCCTGGAGCTGGAGACGCCGCTCAGCTTCGGCTCCCACATCCAGCCCGTCTGCCTGCCGTCGCCGTCCCACGTCTTCAGTCCGGGTCAGAGCTGCGTGGTGTCGGGCTGGGGCGCTCTGAACCAGTTCAGCCGTGAGTCTACATGATGCACCGCAACACAACAGACAGGAATGGGAGGCCTTTAGGCACTCTGATAGAACATCACTTTATTAATGGTCAAATCTTAGTAGAACAGATGAGAAATAAACATTTAATAAAGTGATGCTGTGACTAAAGAAGGCATTTAAAGATTATTATTATTATTTGTTCAACTTTTTTAACAGTTTAATTACCTCCATTAACTGTATCCCTGCATTTTTGACAAGGAAAAACATAATTTGAGATATATCAGAGGACACTTCTCTTAGAATTAGAAGAGCCTCAGGGAACTCTGGGGTTCTTGAAAGAACCTTTAACAGCTCAGGTTAGAAAAGAGGTTTCTGGAGGAACCTCTAAACCTCGGTGTCGGCCTAACAGACACTTTAGACTTTGTGTAATTTTTAAAACGATATATGAAAGTTGATTTATTTTATGATAAAGGAACAGCTGCAAGGTGGCTCGGTGGTTAGCATCGTTGCCTCTCAGCTAGAAGGTCGCCGGTTGGCGTCCCAGTGAGGACACCCGGGATCTGTCTGTGTGGAGTCTCCATGTTCTCCCCGTGCAGTGTGGGTTCTCTCCGGGTTCTCCGGCTTCCTCCCACAGTCCAGAAACATGCTGAGGTTAATTGATGATTCTAAATTGTCCGTAGGTGTGAATGTGAGTGTGCTTGGTTGTCTGTCTCTAAGTGTAGCCCTGTGATAGACTGGTTACCTGTCCAGGTGAACCTGCCTTCACCCTGAGTCAGCTGGGATAGACTCCAGCCCCCCCAGTGAGGATTAAGGTGTAGAGATGATGGATGGATAAAGGAATAACAAGGCTGAAAGTATTAAGATGCTTAATTGTATAGTAAATTATAATGCTCTCGGTCATAATTTGGCATTAAACTATGGAACCTTTATGAACAATATTGGAGATGTTACCTCCTAAATGCAGGTTTCAGAGCCCACTTTTGTATATTTAAGCAAATTGTTTGATTTTCAACACTGATGCTAAGATCACTAATTAAAAATGGTTTATTGTTGTTTATTTAGAAACATCTGAAAACTTTTATTAGACTTTGTTTTCTTATATTTTAGGTTAAATAAAAAAAAAATCCATGATAATAAAAATAATAATGAATTTAAAATTGAGCCCTAAACACCACAAAATTGTCCTTTAAAGAACCGTTCTATTGCTGCTGCAAGAGTTCTCTAAGGAATCATTTAAAACTCAAAAGGTTCCTTCACAGGTGTAATGTTCAAGAACCCCAAAAGGTTCCTCAAGGCTCCAGTGCAGCCCCACAGGTCATCTCGTCTCACATTAGAGAGTTGAATCATTATGTCATGTAGTTATTCTGCACACACAGCACATAAAGCAGCTCCTTCTATTAATATGAAGGATTTTTGTGCATCTGTTGAAACACGATGAGCGGTGCTGATGAGTCGTTCATTCGTCCTCAGCCGAGGTTCCCTCCACGCTGCAGAAAGCTGTGGTGAAAATCATCGACTCCAAGGTCTGCAACAAGTCGTCGGTGTACCGAGGAGCCGTGACGCCCAACATGATGTGTGCTGGATTCCTGCAGGGGAAGGTGGACTCGTGTCAGGTCAGCGCAGCTCCGTGAGCAGATATCGCCTTACAGCTCCTCACAATGCTTTCTTAAGACGGTCTGGCTCTTCTTTGTACCTTGTAAGTGTATGTTAACACCGTTCCCACCCTGAAAACAGGCCTGCAGGCTGTGTGAGCTATTTTCATCTCAGCTTAACATGCTGAGGGATGTTAGTAGTACAAGGAGAAGATGTGGTATCGTTACCGCTTCATCATGACTCATGTTCACACCTTTATGTGGAGAAAACAGTCCAAACTGAACAACTGGTTCGTCACAATCTGAACAATAGCTGAGAATTATTACTGAAAGTTAGTCAGAAACCTCAAAGCCTGAAAGAATGTAAGGATGTGGAACACTGGTGATAAAAAGAAGAGCGCTTTATCGTCCTGTGGCTCCTAAAGGGTTCGTTAAAGCACCAATTAAAGAACCCCTTTATTTAGAGGACGGTTCTTCACGTACTTTATGTTGTTCTTTAAAGAATCACAATCAGCTTTAATGACCAAGTGCGTACACAACATACAAGGAATTTGGTTTCGACTGTTGGTGCCGCTCTAGGAATTTGCACGAATAATAGCAATGGGAAAATTTTTAAAATAAAATAAAGTAAAATAACTACAGAAAGAAAAGAATAAAATACAATAAATATTAATTAAAAAATAAAACAAGATAATAAGACAAATATATAAAAGAATTTACACATCCAGTAGAAACGGTAAATGTACTTTAGAAAAAGGTTCTTGGTTTTTATTGGAGTTGTTTGTTTGGTGGTAAATAAAAAGCATTCAAATTATCAATCATTTTCATACTTAATGAATCATTTAGTTTATAAAATATCAGAAAACTGTGCATCACAGTTTCCCAAATCCCAAATGCATTTTCAGCTAATTCAGTGGATTGTTAAAGTGTTTCTGTCGCTGGAAAAGTTCTCATTTTCTTTCCATTATTCAACGTATAATCACTCCGTCTTACCTGGAGGGGAGAAAAACATTAGATCTGGTGATACCTGCTCTCTGCTGACACTTGGTAATATTATATATTGTTTAATACAGATCTGGAGTTTGCTTTTATAAAAATATTGTTTATTTCTGTGATGCTATTTATATTGACGGCACCAAAAATATCACATGTTCTAAAGGAAGGAACCAGAAATGCAGCAAATTCTTACATTTAGAGTTCAAATAGAAAGATTCTTAAAATGTTTCAGATACATTCAGTGTTTCTTTCTTCTTCTTCAGTTAATTTAAGGTTTTCTCCCCTTAATAGTGACTCATTGTGTGTTTGTTTTTAGCCAATACAATACATGTTTAATACCTTATGTGCCTGTAATTGAATAGTAATATAATAGTATATGTTTATGTGCTTGTTTTTCAAACTGCTTGTAATAATTTGATTTAAAATGCACATAAAAAAACATTTATTTAGCATAATTACTGATTTAAAACAGGTTTTTTACTGAACCCGGTGGATCCACAAAGAACTTTCTGAGAACAATTCCTTAAAGAACTTACATTTAGTTTGTAGAAGCTGCTCCTGAAAGAAGTTCGTCTTGTTAAAAGCTTCTTTGTGGAACTAAAAATGGTTGTTTTTATGGCCACTATATATATATACCACTGTAAAGAACTATTTCTATTTCCAGCTTTATTTTTAGAGCAGAGGTTCAAACAATGTCTACAAATCCCAGCAGCTCATGTTTAAAAATGCTCCTTTGCTGGATGTCATTGTTCTTCTGTCTCATAAAGATAATCATCACTAATCAATATCTGGAGACCTGAACCTGCCACTTGTTTGCAGCTTGAACATCATGAAACAGTTTAAGATTTAAAGTTAATCCACTGACAGCGCTCACATCCTGATCATCCTCCACTGACTAACAAACACTAAACTAAGTCACCAGAGGATCCACCGTCTGCTGGGTCATTAAACCAGATCCCATGTGTGTCCTGTGCAGGGCGACTCTGGAGGACCTCTGGTGTGTGAGGGGGCTCCGGGGAGGTTCTTCCTGGCCGGGGTGGTGAGCTGGGGGGTCGGCTGTGCCCAGATCAACAGGCCCGGGGTTTATTCCCGCGTCACCAAGTACCGCAACTGGATCCTGCGCTACATAGATCCCAGCTTGGTCCACGGAGAGCCCCAGCTTGTTCCCACTGAGCCGGTTCCTGTGACCGGAGGAACCGTGGACGACCTGCCGGTACCGGGAACCGTCGCCATGGATGTGTTGCCTGCTCAACTACTACCTGGTAATGTGGCTGTGGAGGCTTGTTCTTCAGCTTCCAACACAAATGGAGTAAAAACTGTGATCAGTTTGTTGATTTGTGCATCTTGTCTTCAGTGCTGAACTGCAGCGGAAGCTTCCAGTGCAGCTCCACCTCCTGCATCAACAAGGTGAACCCAGAGTGTGACGGAGTCCCCGACTGCCCCAATGGAGCCGACGAAAGGAACTGTGGTGAGTTAGTGTGCACAAACGATGGTGTGTACTGGGTTTAAAGGACCTGGTTCTAAGCTGTGGCTCTGCTCCACACTGTGCTGAGCTACTGTGCAGTAAGATCCTCACATGCTGGATTTAAAAGTGTGGTTCTGCTCCACACTGTTATGAGTTATAATATGCATACAGCTCAGTGCATGCTGGACTTAAAGGTGTGGTTCTGCTCAGTGCATGCTGGATTTAAAGGACCTGGTTCTGAGCTGTGTTTCTGCTCCAAACTGATCTGAGCTATAAAACACATAAACATCAGTGCATGCTGGACTTAAAGGTGTGGTTCTGTGTTTCCGCTCCAGACTGTGGAGTCCGTCCTGCTCTGGGCTCCCACCGGATCGTGGGTGGAGTCACAGCTCGGCGGGGGGAGTGGCCTTGGATCGGCAGCCTGCAGTACCAGCGACTCCACCGCTGTGGGGCCACGCTCATTCACAACAAGTGGTTGCTGACTGCAGCTCACTGCTTCAAAAGGTACTGCGACACGTGCATCAAACATCACAGTCGATGAACCCGCTCTGATGGTCTCCGTTGCCTCCCGCAGTGACCCGGCTCCCACCAACTGGGCCGTCAGCCTGGGCTCTGTGCTGCGTTCGGGGGTTGGAGCTCTGGTCATCCCCATCCAGAGGGTGATCCTCCATCCGGCTTTCAACGGCACCAACATGGACCATGACGTGGCTCTGCTGGAGCTGGCGGTTCCAGCCCCGATGTCTTACACCATCCAGTCCGTCTGCCTTCCGTCCCCGGTGCACCGGTTCCTGAAGAACGCTGAGTGCTACATCACAGGCTGGGGCTCCATGAGGGAAGGAGGTGAGAGAGCAGCTGGAGAATCCACATCCCAAACCTCGTCTTTTTTTATTTTCAGTTCAGACTACAGCTGCTCTTATGAACTGTTTCTTGCAAGATGCAAACAACTAGAATGTACGAAAGCTCAAGACATTCAAATGATGTACATGAGCAAAGGATTGTTTGCTCGGCTGGTTTGCAAAATCTTCAGGTATTGCAAAAGCTGCTGCACAGCTAACATGCTTTGGAGGAGGTTCTGTTCAGAGTTTTGGATTTATATCAGCTGTAAGGTCCTTTTCACCAGTTCTATTCCTGACCACATCCTCTCTGAGCGATGCAGATTCCCAGCTGAGGTTTTATCTGCAAACCTGTTGAGCTGTACCTTAGTCATTCTGCTTAACGAAGCCGCGCAGCTATAGGTTTTGGGTTTAGGTTTTGTCGAGCCAGCTAACTCAAAGAAAGTCTGGATAAGTTTAGCCCTCTGTCATGTTGTCAGGAAGATAGTTTTGCTTTTATCTGCTGAGGCTCTAACGTTTCCACCACTGAAACACCTGCTGCTTCACCAGAACTTTTGAAGGGATTGGATTTTAGTTTGGAGGCGCTCATAGCTGAAGAAAATGTTGTAACCAGACTTAGAGAAAATGCATGAAACCCTCTGACACATATCTGTTTATTTCCACAGGTTCGTTGACCAACCTGCTGCAGAAAGCTGCAGTGAACGTCATCGACCAGGCGGACTGCCAGCAGTCGTATGGAAACGTATTGACCACGAGCATGATGTGTGCCGGATTCATGGAGGGAGGACGGGACACCTGTCTGGTAAGATGCTCTGTACACACTCGAATGTCCTGTTGGCAGCCTGGAAATGGGCCGGACATCTGTCTGGTTCAGTCCTGGCAGCGGCTCAGCGGTGAGATTGTGGACCGAGATTACAGCAGCAGCACAGAGGCTCTGGGAAACAGCGATAAATCTTTTTACAGTGGATGGTTAACCAGGTCAGAACACTGTACATGTTGCCCTTTAAAGGTTGCTAGAACTCACGTTGTAGACAAAACGTGAAAGCATACAAATGAATCAGGGTTTGAAAACGCTTCTAAGACGATACAACAGAGAAAACAATAAGAATATGTGATGCACAGTCCAGTGAGAGATGCTAACTGATAGCAAAGTGCACTTTCTTTCCTAAAAATCCAGACTCCCCCGTCGCCCTCTCCCTCTCTGTAATCTTCTTATGTAAGGAAACCCTCATGCATTCCTGTCTCGGTCAAAGCACCTGGCATCTCAGCAGCGATCCAAGTGACATTCTCTTTGTGCCTGCTTTGTCTTTCTGACTCTCCTGCTTTGCTGCTCGCTCATTTATTCTCCTTTCATTCACCGACTGAATGAAGTCATTTTAATTTCTAATAAAACAGCCGCACCGTTGAACCGTCTCTCGTCACTTTTCCATCATCCAGGGAGACTCTGGAGGGCCGCTGACCTGTCGCCAGCCCTCTGGCCAGTGGTTTATCGCCGGAGTGACCAGCTGGGGACACGGCTGCGGGCGAATCGGTTTCCCGGGGGTTTACACTCGTGTGACGTCTGTCAGGAAATGGATCTCTGCGTACCTGCCTTTCTGACTGAGGAGGGGCGGAAAAAAGCAGCCATGTCTGCAGAGAAATGACAAACCGTGTGGACTAAGTGGATTTTTAAAGATGCATCTCCACAGAACTGTACTGTACAAGGACTGAAGTCGTGCTAAAAGCCGCACACACACGCTCGGTTTACAGTCGACCCGCTGTGTGAGCTGCCGGTGCTGTTTGTTATACTGTGCAATGGGACTTTTCTCTATCAACGTGTACTGAAGAAACAATCCTGAGCTGTGGCTTCACGGAGCTCCTGCTAACACATGCATGATTGAAAGTATTTATTATAGTTATTTATTTTCCTAACTGGTGAACATACTGTACATGGTGTTTGTGTGTGGGGCTCAGAATATATGTGGTTCATTTATGGGTTCAATATTTGTTACTGAACGGTGGGTTTCTGGGGAAAATATAGTTGTGATATTGGAATCAGCTTGATAAAGGGAACACGTGGTGGTGCTTCATTGGCAGAAACACTTTTTTCTTTAAAGAGAAACACGAGAGAATTCCCTTGATTGACAAGATTTATTGATTTTTTATTTTCATGGAAATCTCTCCTTTTCGCCCACAATCACACCTCCGGTCACACTGCACATGATGTTCACAGGCCCTTCTGGCTCTCGCTTCGCTGCACAAACGCAGCGGGGATGGCTGAAGAAAGGGATCGAGGTTCCCAGACATCTGACAAACCGCGAACACAAAGCTGAGAAAGGTGCAAAACCCCGTGTGGAGCGAGGCAGACCTCGAGGAAACAAGCCCACCACTGTGGAGGGCAGCAGATAGAGTGACGACCAGAAAACATGTCGGACAAAACAGTTTTGTTCTCCGGCTGTACTCTGATATAGGACTGTTTGGAGGCCTGTGAATGTCACAGTCAACGGCGGTGAAAACACCAAGTTGTTCCTCAATTCTTCCCGATGCAGATCTTTTTACTCTCGTCCCTTAAGGGCTCCGGTTGTGCTGCTTCTTGTTTTGCAGATGCAAATGTTTCGGCTGCGTCCCAAATCACATATTTAGTCAAAGTCTTTCAATTTAAGAACATACTGCAGCTGCACTTCAACTACAGCTTCATGCATCCAACTAGGACACCGTGCTTTGTCATAACATTGAGTTTTCTTGCACGAGACGTAACTGTGCAAAGGATTTGTGGCATGCAGCAAAATCTAACAGGAAGCCGTAGAACATCCTGGTACTTCTGGCATATTGGAAATCTTTTTCTGGCGTTCTTTATATTATAGTCGTATGGATGCTGGAACTTAGTCTCCTGCTGAGTGTTTTCAGACTGAAAAAAACAACCAACATTGTTTTAGGAAGCAGCTGTAGTGACCGGAAGGAGTTCTGTTCACACTGATGGGTAGCGAATGTCCCGATTGTAAAAGGCACACAAAGAATTCAGCCTCTAAACTGCTTCTCTTCCGGGGCTGAACGCCATGTCTGCACAAGAAATAGACACGCTGTGGCTCACAAACATTCACACTTGAATTTCACTCCAACAGGCAATTTTAGAGTTTCCAATCCAACACGCAGAGTTAATTCTGACATATATGATACAAATAATTAAACTTTGCTAGTCAACGGTTCCTCAGTGTAAAATAAAAAAAAAAAGAATGTCCACAGAGACGCTGTTATGGCTAAAGTCCACAGGCTCTGCTCGCCTGTCTGTGAGGTATAATGACAGAAGGTGATGGCGTGCCACGATGCGCCCGTGCACAGCTCGCCACCTCCGCTGGTTTCGGACCCTCACTGTGAGCAGCAGCCTGAAGAGGGGAAGCGTGACGGGATGTTCACATACGAGCTCGTTCCCTCTGCAGTCTGGAGTTGTACGTTCGGGACACGGTGTTCCAGGCGTCCATATACCGGTCCATGCACATGGCGATGCATTTCTGTGGGACGGAAAGGAACGAAGTTAGCAGAGACATAAACCTGAGAAAAGAGAGCGATTGATGCTTTTTTTCATTATTAAGTTTCCTGATTGGTTTACTAAACATAAGAAGGTTAACGTATTACTTGTTAAGAAGAATAAGAAGCTTTATTTCTACAGCACCTTTCACAAGTGAAGCTACGAGGTGCAACATTAAATATGAGAAATAATTAGAAATATGATCATATGTTCTACCAATGCCCGTCTGACTACAACAAAGCAGCACATCGTCACATTTGAGAAGTTAAAACCAGTGCAGTTTAACATGAAGAGTGCCACAAACCAAATAACCAAATGCAAAAAGTAGTTTTATCTCCAGTGTTTCTGGATTTAAAGAGCAAATCAGCTCATCTTAGCCTCAAACTTTAGAATCAGCTTTACTGCTCATGTGTGTGGACACATACAAGCACTGCTGCTTTATCTTTGCTTTCAGTGTAGTTGCACAAAAACACACACATGCATTGAGACATTACCTGCTCTGAGTTATCCAGCGTACTTCCAGGTTTGCCTATGCACTTCTTGAAGCATTTATCTGTCATTCTCTGAAACACAAAGAAACGCAGTTTATTGTCATTTATAACTGCAACAGCTGACCTGCAGTTTTACCAGCAGCTTTTGTTTGATTTTTTGGGGGGGGGGAGTTTAAAAAAGGCTCGTAGCAGACTAGAAATAAACTGGTTTAAAACAAATACACCTTGGTTAAAGGGTGAAATGAACCTAACTGTGGGTTCTCAGTCGTCAAGGTCATAATATCCATGATTGAATGACCTACATGCAGTGATAGGTCTCTTTCTTTCTCTGATTACAAAGATTACAGAACATTCCCATTAGTTTAGTTTAGCTGTTACATCTGGTTCTTGAAAAAAAATGGCTTTAATTAGTGCAAAAACTGGCTGCATGTGGCATTAGCATGTTGCCTAATATGCCTTTTTAAAATTTGCATTTAAGTAAAGTACCAATAAAACAGGCTGAGGATGACAGAAGAGCTGTTTGTGGATAATTGGAAATTTTGACCTTAAATGAAACCATCAGAGTTATTACAGTTATAAAATATCAGTGTGTTCACCAAATATGACAGCAATTCATATAAATGCAAACAAAATATACAGGCTGATTTAAACAGTTTCCAAACTTTAATGAGATTCTGATAGTTTTTCAGTTTGCTTTGACAAACTCATGACTTTCCACAGATTCAATGAACCACAGCAGCCTTTTACTGAAGCTCTCAGGACAGAAGAAAAAAAACATCACAGAGAGACTATAAGAAACATGTCAAAAATAAAGATGTGTTTGGTTTTTTCATGCAACACACTAAAAACATGAGTCTATTACACCTGGCTGCTCTGCTCTCCTACATTAGCCTCAGGTAGCTAGCTTAGCACCGCGTCCACCGGTTTACCTGCAGCAGCTCCTGAGCGTTCGCCACCGCGATCTGGACCTTGACCTGCTCCATGATGGTTCCGGTGTCCATCTTACCGCCGGATCCTCCCGCTGAAAAGTCTGAACCGAACCCGTCCATGTTGTACCGGAGTCGTCACCGAACCTGCGTTTCTATGGAGCTTTTCTGAACACACGTGCTAACAGCAGCGGCTCAGCTAGCGTTAGCTTCAGATGCCCTTGACAGAAGCGGAAGGTTGGTACGTCGTTTCCGGTTCAGCGAGTAGGAATTATGGGAAATATAGTTTTTTGATGGGCGCAGACATACGCTGCATTTTAAAGTGAGACATAACTGTGAATTAACAAGAATCTCATTTTAAAAAATACTCAAAATATGCATATAGGAGGTTTCTTTACTTTTCTTTTAGTCTCTCGCACAGTAAGAAAAAAAAATGCACCCTATTTACAATACTATGAATTAAAATGGCAGGTATTTAGTGAATAAAAATTAAACGAGACCCTTTAAAGTTATCAATTTAATCGACGTAAATTGAACTGAAGAACAAGAAGGAATTATTTAACACCGAAACAAAAACATTGGGTTGATAGTAAAAACTAAAACTGAAATTTGTAAATAGAGCTGATAAAATTAGATTATTTTACATGTTAGTGATATATATGATATAAATAGTATGAAATAAAAAATATAAAAAACACAAACATTAAAAATATATATATATGAAAGGTTAATGATAGTGAAGACTGAACTTGTCAAGTTACCTAAAAGGTTTAATGGTGAATAAATAAAATGCAAATGAAACAGCTACACAAAAGCAGGAGTCAGCTACAGAAAATACATATACTCCTTTAATAGAATAAGAACAATATTTTGTTAAACTATTTTTTGGGATTTGTTAAATAGACAGCACACATCCTCCTCTAATACACTCAAAAACATCCACATGTGCACATGTTTGCCACACGGTGGAGATCTAGTCCACCGAATCAAACTCAGCTTCAACCTGAATCTCAAACAAAGACTCCAGCTTAGAATTTTTTAAAGATGTGCTGCCAACAAATATCTTTATGCACACATAGTTAGATTTAGAGGTATTTTAATCAACGTAGTTGCATAGAAAATCAGTCATCATTTATGTAACGGTTAAGTTATTTGATTATATTCAGTTTGTAAAACATTAACAGCATCCAGTGTGTGTTATTTAAGTTGAGTTATTCTCTTTGTTCATCACATTATTAACCGGTTTAATCCCCAGTTTGTCATCCTGAGCTGCTCCTGTGAATGAGAAGGTTTATCCATGCGCTTCTATAAATAGAAAACTAAGTTGTAATTCCAGTTAAGGCCAAACTTGTCAACTAACCCGATCAAAAGGCTAAATAAATAAAAACCCGTATTCAGACTGAAACTGCCTGAGGAGCAGGAGTCGCCCACAGAAATAGAAAGTCAGAGCATTGTTTGGTGCTGACGACTGAGGATGACCCCTTTAAAGACCCCTCGCCTTCTGTTTCAGACCCTCACCGAGGAGACCACCTGCTCTGGGCCAACAAACACTCTGTACAGTGAGTCTGCAGCAACAATGGAGTAACGGTTACTGTCATCCAAACAGACACTCCCCGGCTGGAGCGCTGCGACGCTGGGGGCACCGAGGAATAATCATGGGGGGTCTGATTAGTGGCGTGCCTGCCTGAGAGTAATTAATGAGCGGTTACACAACGCTGCTAACACACAAACATACAGTCCTCCGACCAGTTTGGCCTGCAGCCACGAGGCTCGACGTGAGAGGGGGGAGGGGAGGGTTAAAGTGCAGCAAAATGAATTAACCCTAGATTACAATCATGAGTTCATTAATCTAATCTGCTTAAATTCATAATCTCCTTTAGGCACACTTGTGTGTATGAAAGCATTTGGCCCAGTCGGCAACAAACAGAGGCGACAATGGCGACTGGGTGAGGAGTTAAATTTTAAGGTTATTGAGGAGTTTAAAACAACAACAGAAAAGGATATTTGGAGAGTTGAGATCGGAGCAGCACTCCAAATATGAAATGGAAACAATAGGTTTAAAACACAAACTGTCCTCCAGACCAACAGCTGACAAACAGCAGCAGGTTTTAATCTTCAAAAGCAGCTGCTGAGTGACAGCAAGAGGAAGAGAAACACAAGGAAACCTGAGAAGTGTGGCATCCAGCGTGGATCTCCCACTCAGCCAGCCTATTGTTTGACTAAAGACGATATTTAAAATGTAAAACATCTACAACGGCTTCTCCTCTGCTCACTTTTCCGCAAACTTGTCTAAGCATGACAAAACACAGCTGCAGCTAACAATGGCTTCATGCCCTTTAAATGCAAACCCAACAGACGGCTTGCACAACGCCAGAGCTGTGAAACTGGCACGCCTAAAATGAAATACAGACATTATTAATGTCATTAATAACACCTGCGGACATGTCGCAGCATGTTCCCACAGTGCACAGAGGAGAGACTTTGTTTTTGAATTTGCACCATATTTCATGACCTTCTATGAGAATTTGCAGATATTTGGGAATAGTCACAGAACTTTGCTTGCTTGGAAAGTTTATGGAGGATCCTTTAAGAGTTTAGCTCAGAGAAAATGTTGCTGGAAAAACCTCTGATAACTCAAAACAGGTTCCAGAGGCTTTGGTATTAAATTATAGGGCGCTTTGAACAATTTTGAGGACATTAATGCAAGTTGTCGAGGCTGTTTCTGCACATTAAGACAAGTTGAAACCGTTCTGCTGCCTAAATGTAAAAAAAAAAACAAGCCATCTACATCATTGTTTGATATTGTTCTTATGTTTGCAGGTAAATAATCCAGTATAGTAGTCTTACAAATAATAATAATAGCAATAAAGTCTATAAATTGAACCCCAAATCCCACAAAACAGTTATTAAAGGAACCATTTTAAACTCAACAGGTTCCTCTGCAGTGCTGCTGGTCTCTTCTACTTCCAACAGTGTACTTTAATGTTCTAACACTTTTACCTGTTACTCATAAATTCCCAGTAAACACACACACAGCTCACATTAGTTTCCATAACTTCTGCTGTGCGTCATGTTGTCAGCATTGCAGGCTGACTTGGCTGATTCGTAATTGAGCCAACTCTCGCTCCGATTGGCCGCCTGGAACGAAGGGACATTCTTGATAAATTCCTGTAAACCTCACGAGTATTTAAATCCTTCAGAAAATGTCAGGAATCCGGCTGCAGAAATAACCTCGTGGCCCTTAGACGGACTTAACCTGCAATCATATGATCATTAAGGCTGCGCCGCCCGGCAGAGGCAGAGTGGACGTGCCGATCAATACTACCGATTATCAGTGTTAATATTGGTAAACTGGTGTTAAAATCAAAAGAAAGAGCTGCCTCTGAGGGCACAGAGATCATGGATTTGGAGTATTTTAGCACATTTGGATGGTTGGAGTCACATTCTATGATTAAAAATGTACAAATAATGAATGTTTCATAGCCGATCGCAGGGTTTTAATCTCAGTGTGTTCAATTTTTACAACTTTTAGATGAATAAAATAATAATGAAACAAATGTTCTGACAGATTTTTATTCTGGGCGGCGCAGCTAAAGGCTTTGATGCAACATTTAGACCTTCATGCTGGGTTGTAAGATTTACAGACGTATTGGTTAACTGAATTTTTAAAAGAAGCTACGAGGAATCTGAATAATTCAGAGAACAGTTTGGAGAGATTTCTGGACTCATGACTTTATAAAACTCTACTACAGAGCAGATTTCTGGCTTAATATCTTGTTCAAAGCTCTGAATATGAAGGAATATGTTCTGTTGTATTGTCGCTGATAACATGAAGAAGAATCTCAGTTTGATTTTACTACATATTTGGAACAAAATTCCAAAGAAATCAGAGTTTTATTTGCATTTTGCAGCTTCCTTTTATCCAGCTCAGTTTGGTGATTGTTCGTTAATCATATTTGTTGCTAAATTGGGGTTGTTTTGCAGAAGCGGCACATAATGGTTCTAAAAATGGTTCCTTCTAGTTCTTCAAAACACTATTGGAGGATGGGTCTTCTCATATTGTATGTGTTTATTCAAAGTGCTGAAGGTTCTTCGTTTTATTATTTGGTTTGGCTGCAACTAGTGATTATTGTCATTACTGATGAATCATTTGGTCGATAAAACACAAGAAATCTGTGAGAAATGTCCATCACAGGTTCCAGAATCCCATGGCAGCACCTGTTCTGTCTGATTAAGAGTCCAGAACCTAAAATATGAAACATGTTCTAATAGAAGGGACCCAGAAATGCTGCAAATTCTTACATTTGACTTTTTGGCTTTAAAATGACTTAATATCAAGTCCTGTTATCAAAACACAACCAGGCGTGTCCACAAAGAACTGCCTCAAAAATGGTTCCTTGAAGAACACATTGTTGCCAAAGTTCTTAGTAGCGCCATCGACAACGCCTAAAGGAACCACGTTTGGTGTTCTATAAAGAACTTCTTGCTAAAATGTTCCTTGTGGAACTGAAAGTAACGTCACCGTGAAGAACCAGTTTTGGTTCCTGCCTTTGTTTTTCTGAGTGTCTGATGCAGGACGTTCAACAGTAGACGATCCACATCATTAGTACATGAACTGTTAAGGTTTATTCTTAGAATTGAATGCAATTAATTCATCTATACTGTCGGTGAGTAATGTTGCTGATCTATGATTGGTAAATGTCCACATCCCTCATCCAGCATCCATTCATCATGGTTGGGAAGATTGATAAAGACATTCATCTATCTATCTATCTATCTATCTATCTATCTATAGATGTACATCAATGGATATTTAGATGGATGAACCGATGGATGGAGTATTTCTTACACTTTTCTTACAGGTTCTGGATCCAAATGCCAAAATATATAGACTATATGAATATTAGTCTACAAGGCAGGCAGCACACATGATAATCAAAAACACATTCAGGAGCCACAAAAGGTGATGAAGCTCAGTTTGAGCTATGGATGACTCAATAGTGCTGAGTCACAGCATCAACTTGTGTTTCATTTACCCATGTTTACCCTTCATATCTTAACCCTAAACTAGTATTAAACCCAATATTGGTGCTAAAATGGATCATCTCTGTCCCGTGTTTTGTGTCCCAGTGAGTTCTGGTGTGTTCCCTCCTTTATGTTCCCATTTGTTTTTTTTATAAAGTCCACTCTCTGTTAGGAGTTACATGAATAAACCTGCATTTCAGGTGGATTCAGGTTCTTCTTCTGTGCGTAAATTCAGAGGACCGAGCGGAACTGAAACAGTGACAGGTGTGTGAGTGTGTGTGTGTGTGTGTGTGTGGGTGGGTGGGTGGATGATTTATGCTGCAAATTTTCTGACAATAATCGCGAACATTGACCCTCGAGCTGGACGCAGAATAAAGAGCCGCTGCGGCCTGTGATTGGCCGGCGGCGGCAGGAGGAGGCGGAGCCTGGCGGCCGGAGCGCAGCCTGGGCTCTTCCTCTGCGCTCTGCTCGCTGCTCTCCGCAGGCTGCGTGGCTCCGCGACGACGCGCCGCAACTTTAACTTTAAACTCTGGGTTTTTATAAACGCACCGGGTTTTTTTTTTTCTTTGTCCCACACCGATGGATCAACCGTTTCCCGGCAGCTCAGGACGTGATTCAGGTGTAAAGTCGGACTGCGGATTCGTATAAATTTGTGCCACGACTTCAAAGAAATCGACGGCGGAACAAGTTGTAACCGAGATAAAGGAATCCGGAGCGAGGTAAGAACCCGACGCGTAAAGTCTGGCTGGCTGGTTCTGTTGGGCTCGGTTGCAGCTCGTGGGCTTTGGGTGAAGCTGTGGATGTTTGCAGGCTGCTGCTGCTAACTTGGGAGGAAAGTTGAGCGCATGCTGAAGTGCTGACCAGAGTTTCACATTTACTGCACAAAACGAATTGGATTTCACGCTGCGTCCCTCCGCGGAAACCCAGCGTCCCCCTCCAGCGGATTTAAATTTATCTGCTGGGGAACAAAAAGAGGCTGTTTGGGCCAGAAAGTGACCGTCTGCCTTATTTTACCTGCTCGGCGGCGGTTTAAAACGCTTTAAAGGAGCAGTTCGGCTCGTTTAGTGAAGCTTTTCTTTAAACAAAAAGTGACTTCAGCTTCTGGTTTAAGACTAAAATGTTATTAATGCAGCAAAATGGGGGGTTATTCAAACATTATAGCTCTCTGGATGATTTTAAAACTGATAATTTCCTTTATTTAATGTGTGAAACTCATCTGTAAGTCACGTTATTTAGAGTTTAAACAAAGATATTAGACGAACCAAACACATTTTCTAACAACACTATGATATTCTTTATAATATAGGGCTGCTATTATTGTCTGGATTCATTGTTTTGTCTATAAAATGTCAGAAAATGATCAAACAGTGTCTCTGTTTTGTCCAAAACCCAAACATATTCAGTTTACCGCCACAGAGGAGAAAAGAAACTAGAACATATTTGCCTTTTAAGAAGCTGGAATCAAAGCATTTTGACTTTTTTCTTCTTATAAAATGACTCAAACCAATTAATAGATAATCAAAGTAGGCTGTGGTTGTATAATTTGTCAATAAGAAGCTGGTCTGAGGTTGATCGATACCAAAGACGGAGGAGATCAACCTCTGAAACAGACCAACAACAATGTTCTGAGTGTGAGGGGATGTAGATTTTTCTCTCTGTGATACTAAAGAAGTGTCTCAGTTGCTTTTCACTACACATTTTGATCAGACTTGTAGAAAATCTGACTGTTTTTACTCTGTTTTCTTTCCCTTTATGCCTCAGATGTAAATATGAAGCCTGATAAACACTTTAAACTGCAAATATTCCTTCAACCAGGATTATTCTGTCAAAGTTTCACAAAGCCAATCTTTTGCTGTCACCTGAGACGTACAGTTCAGTTTATTTCCATGTTTAATCCACATAAAAGCTGCTGCAGAAGACCAGAAACTGATCATCGGGCAGAATGTATTGATTTTGTGTACAGTCTTTGTTAACCCGCCGCATCACCCCATAACCAGCTGGATGTTTTTCACTAATGTCCCGTTCTTACATAATCATATTTGCTAAATTTTGATTGCAGACTTCTGCTAATCACATTACGCCGTGTCCTCCCACTCAGCGCAGCACTTTCAAGCCTGTCCAAACCCACTAGAGAAGATCAAAAGAAAGATTGGGCGGTTACATAATTCCATCCTTAAGGAGCTGGTCTGAGGTGTCACATCTTATGTGGGCTTGAAAGCTTCGCCGTTGGCACCATCTTGTAGCCGAGCAGCAGAGCGAGCTGGCAGCAATCGGAGTGACTCACGGCCCTGACATGTTTGTATGGGTGTAGAGATGTGAGGCAGGAAAACACGGCCAGGTGATCTCCTGAACCCGACATCTAGTTACAGAAGCTTGGCCTGAGAGCCGGCTAACGCGGCGGATTCGCTCTCACAGGTTTGATTTCATGGGTTTTACAGTGTGAATCTCTGCGGCACACAGTGTTCACATGCTGCTTATCTGATCTCCTTTCATCTCGCGAAAGTCTGAAGTTCATTTCCGTTTTAAACCAGCTCACTGATATGAGACTTCTGGGCAGCCCATTCATCAGCTGCTGGCATGGGTTTTTATTCAATCATAAAATGGGAGGAGTGTTTACGGTCATGCTCGTATCAAAGGAACCGAATGTCCGTCCTCGCTGTTATAAAAACACCGTCGTAAAATCAGCTTGTGTTGATTTGTTTTCTTTCCTCTTTGTTCCTGCTCCAGGTCGAAGCCAAGATGTCCGTCAGCAACCACGAAAACAGGAAGTCTCGCTCCAGTTCCGGCTCCATGAACATCCAGCTCTTCCACAAGACGTCGCACGCCGACAGCCTGCTGACGCAACTCAACCTGCTGCGCAAGCGGAAGGTGTTCACGGACGTGGTGCTGAAGGCCGGCAACCGCTCCTTCCCTTGCCACCGCGCCGTCCTCGCCTCCTGCAGCCGCTACTTCGAGGCCATGTTCAGCGGCGGCCTCAGGGAGAGCCGGGACGCCGACGTCAACTTCCACGACTCCCTCCACCCCGAGGTGCTGGAGCTGCTGCTGGACTACGCCTACTCGGCCAGGGTCATCATCAACGAGGAGAACGCCGAGTCGCTGCTGGAGGCCGGAGACATGCTTCAGTTCCACGACATCAGGGACGCGGCGGCCGAGTTTCTAGAAAAGAACCTGCACCAGTCGAACTGTCTGGGCATGATGCTGCTGTCAGACGCCCACCAGTGCCAGAGACTGTACGAGCTGTCGTGGAGGATGTGCCTCGCCAACTTCGCCACCCTCTTCAGGACGGAGGACTTCCTCAGCCTGCCCAGAGACAAAGTCCAGGAGCTGATCCTGAGCGAGGAGCTGGAGGTGGAGGACGAGAGCCTGGTGTACGAGGCCGTCATCGACTGGGTGAAGGCGGACATGGAGCGGCGGCACGGCGAGCTGCCCGAGCTGCTGCGCTGCGTCCGCCTGGCGCTGCTGCCCGAGTCCTACCTGCTGAAGAACGTCGCCTCCGAGGAGCTGGTGATGTGCCACAAGGTGGGCCGGGAGATCGTGGAGGACGCCGTGCGGTGCAAGATGAGGATCCTGCAGAACGACGGGATCGTCACGGGGTTCTGCGCTCGGCCCAGAAAAGTCAGCCAGGCCCTGCTGCTGCTGGGAGGACAGACGTTCATGTGCGATAAAGTCTACATGATCGACAACAAGACCAAGGAGATCACACCGAAGACGGACATCCCCAGCCCCAGGAAGGAGTGCAGCGCCTGTGCTATCGGCTGCAAGGTAAGTGTGTGGAATCTGCATATTTAAATACTCAAAGTCAGGGTTTTTATATCTGTGTTTTGCAGTGATGGATGAATCTGTGCTAAGATGCTTCTACGTATAGAGCTGATATTTTCCACATTCAGAGGAATTTGTTCAATGTCTGAATTTCTATGCATGGAAGAGTTTGTACAATATCAACATTTTGAATTTTTTTTACTGAAGTCACTCTATTTTTTTTGCTTTTTCCTTGTTATTGCTACAGCAGTGACAGTTTCCCTTCTGTGGGATCCTCACAGATTCATCGTATCTTCTGTGATGCATCTTCTTAAATGTCTTGAGGATGTTCTCTCACTCTGCTTTCTCTCCTTGCGTCGCAGGTTTACGTCACTGGAGGCCGTGGCTCTGAGAACGGCGCCTCCAAAGACGTCTGGGTCTACGACACGCTACACGACGAGTGGTCCAAAGCGGCGCCCATGTTGGTGGCCCGGTTCGGCCACGGTTCTGCAGAGCTCGACCACATGCTGTACGTGGTCGGTGGACACACTTCGCTCGCCGGATCCTTCCCCGCCTCTCCGTCCGTGTCGCTCAAACAGGTGGAACAGTACGACCCTCAGACCAACAAATGGACGCTGGTGGCGCCACTCCGCGAAGGCGTGAGCAACGCCGCCGTCGTCGGCGCCAAAAACAAACTGTTTGCCTTCGGGGGCACCAGCGTGAACAGAGACAAATACCCCAAAGTGCAGTGCTTCGACCCCTGCCAGAACCGCTGGTCGGTGCCGGCTGCTTGTCCGCAGCTGTGGCGCTACACGGCGGCGGCCGTCGTCGGAAACCACGTGGTCGTGATCGGAGGCGATACGGAATTCTCGGCCAGCTCGGCATACCGGTTCAACAGCGAGACGTACCAGTGGTCCAAGTTTGGCGACGTGACGGCCAAACGCATCAGCTGTCACGCGGTGGCGTCGGGAAACAGACTCTACGTGGTCGGAGGCTACTTCGGGGCTCAGCGGTGTAAAACTCTGGACTGCTACGACCCGTCGTCGGACTCCTGGGACAGCGTGACCAGCGTGCCCTACTCGCTCATTCCCACTGCCTTCGTCAGCACATGGAAGTACCTCTCGGCGTAGAGACGCTGCGGTTTCTCGGTGAGTAATTGCAGCTTCCCTAAACTGACACAAACAAACAAGATGTCAGTTATGTGTGCTATTCATAGCGCGCCTCTATATTGTCAGATAATTCATGGGAACTGGCTTTGAAGAACCAAGAATATCTCAGATTAGATCAGAACATGCTGTTACACAATCACCGGGCCCAGGTGGAGGCCTCTGCGAACCGGTGGAAGCCAGTTTGAAGTGTTTTCAGGGTTGCCAGTGGCTACAGTGGTTACACATTATCTAGCTGCAGTGACGGCTGGGTGTTGGATAAACACGGTGGAGTCCTGGTTTAGAGAGCAGCAGGAATGTCAGCGGCGCTCATAATTACAGAGCGAGCTGAAGAGCTGCGCCGGTGACAGCAGCGAGGTGGAGAGGCGGCGATCAGGTCTGAGCTTGTGGAGCCAGAAAAAAGGGGCTCTGCAGGGCCGACGCCGGCAGCGAACCGGCCCGCTGATGCGAGTCAGGACCTTTAAAGCAGCTGTAGGTTATAAAAGGAGATGTGACACATAAGCTGCACTTCAGATAAGATCAGGAACAAACTTTTTACTGGCTCAACCTTTCACATGATTGGAAAAAAAAGACGCCATTTCCTCCCGAATACAAGCCTGCACAGTTTTCTCAGTCAGATTAGTCAGAGCTTTACATGGTTAAAAAAAAGAAAAGGGGGCGAATGAGGAAGGATCCATCTTGAGGGTATGAAAATAAGATTGAGTGAGATGTAACACCCCAAAGCCAGGCTGCCTGTAGGACAGACAGGTGGCAGCTTCATGTAAGACAAGAGATGATAAGGAGGCTGGTGGCTGAAACGAGAAGCGGAAATTCGGTGATATTTTGAGCCGTGCAGGTTGTTTTTACATGTGTCCCGTGGTGGAGGAGCTAGTTTTAGATTTCATGACGCGAGGCCCGTCCTGTGATCTCGTTTTAGCGCCGATGCGATCAATGGTGAATAATTCGACGCTACTGCAGTAGATTTATAAGACTGCTGTATCATTTTATTGTTGGTTTTTGTGGTTTTTATCTTTATTGCAGTAATGAAACTTTAAAGAAAAATCAAGATGGGGTTTTATTACAGCGAGCTTTCACAAGGGTTGGTTTTAAAGCAGAATTTAGTGCTCTGGGATCAGTGGTTTAATGTGGCTCGCTCGCATTAAAGCCGTAGACTGTATGTACAGATGGATGAACCCTCTTTGACGTCACCCGTAGGTCTTCCTGAAAGGTACTTTTGAAGCTCAGTGCGTTGTGAGCAGTGTGTAATTCCTCTCTGACCAACGTGTCCCTTAACGATTCTCTCAATACAATTTTAAATTCAACCTCTGTCCAGTTGTCATGAATGGAGAAGGTCGCTATAGAAACCAAAACTGTTCCTCGTACCGGGCTGTAAACATGTTTATTTCTGCTGTAAAGTTGGACGTTTCAACATACGGGTCTACAGGGATAGACTTGCGTTTGGAGCCTCAAGTGGCCATTTGAGGAACTGCAGTTTTTGTCACTTCTGCATTGTCTTTCATGTACAATAATCCTGATTTTATTACTTGTTAAAGACAGCAACTTGACAGCTTTTATTGAAGTATAGCTCAGCTGTATTTTCATAAAGTTTAAAGCTACGATCAAAGCATAAGAACACTTACACAATACGGGACTAGCCTTAGCTGCTCTGTGCTACAAATATCCTCCATGTTTGCACTTTATCCGGTTTGACAGAAACTTTGATTTCTTTTGAAGCTGCACTACTAACTTGAATAACAATCCCTCTTTTTTTAATCTATTCATCATGTTGGAGTTTCAAGTTTACCAGCATAAAGCTTGTCAAAGTAAAAAGAACTGACATGAAATCAGCCGTTTTGCTTTTTTTGAGGAAAAATGAATCCTTTAGTTTAATCTATTGGTTGATAAAATAGTCAACAGATGAGTTGATCGCTTCTAGTGGGAGCTCTGTTCATGTCTAGATGTTCAGTTGGACACTGCAGCCTGTTAGCTTAGCTTAGCTTAGCATAACAGAAAGACTGCAAACAGGAAGTACTCCTCATTTGCATGGATGAAATGAGTCCACGTATTGCTACGCTAGCTGTTTCCATGTTTGCTGCTCGGCTCTCTCTCTCTCTAAATATACGCAAAATGTCCAAGTTGTTTTAAGCTGGACTCGACCAATATATCTCTGTTTTCCATAACTTTAGCCAGAGATGATCACAAATACAACTCGCAGATACGCTCTGAACTCTTCTGTACTGGGGGAAGATCTGGCAAGCGACGAGCCGGAGGGAAAACATGATGATAGGATGGAAACATCTGTGGTTTGCATCCATTTCAGCGCCTCCGAACAGTCGAGTTTCAGTTTATAGTAGGAAGGAAAATTCCGTCCCTCTGCTATTGATGCTGTAAAGTGACAGATTCAGATGCAGTTGGGGTAAATCCTGCCCCTCCATGCTGCCAAACAACTGCCCCCTTTTTTTAGAGGAAAGGCGACTCCAGACGGGCTCCTTTTTCACAAGTCTGAAAAAGCGAAGCCGAGCGGAAGAAAGTGAGAAGCGGAGGGCTCATGTGTGACTTGTGTCTACAGTAAACAGCTGGAGATGATGGAGCTGGGGGCTCGGCATTATGGGGCTGCCGGTGTGGGCCGCCGTCGCCATGGCAGCGAGGGCCGTTTCTGTTGCCAGGACGGAGACAGACGGGCGGACTGCGAAAAGATCAAGGCGCCGCATCCCGGCGAAGGCTCTTGGTTACGATAGCCGCCGTCCCGCTGCCTTTATGTTCAATTACAGCGAGGATGGAAAAAGCTCCGATTTCCAGCTTGTTAAGCAGACTTCCTGCCCCGACGCTGGTCGACTCGAGACGGGGGAGAAGCAAATATGTTGATGCACACACACACACACACACACAGAGGTGGAGATAAAGTGGAAAGCAAGTACCAGCAGCAGCAGCAGAAGCAAAGCTATATTTTGCAGCTCTTGGCAGCCGCGACTAACGCCTGCCTAAAAATACATCGAGGCTCCTGAGGCTGTCAACTTACAGCTGGGGTTAGAGAAGAAAAATACTTGTGTGTAAAGTGTGTGTGTGTGTTTTTAGTTTTCTCTTTGCTGCTGAAAACCACCAGTCAGCTGTTCAAGTATTCACTAGTAGTATTGTGAGTTTTTACGGTTGCCGTAAAACCGCGACTCTGACACACGCAGTCCTTTTAAAAACCGTCCTGTCTCTATTTCGGGAGGAATGAAGGTGTTGCCCCGCGTTCCCATTAGTAAAGATTGAAGTTTTCCCCGGTTCGGTCCTGTACGGTTCTGTTGCGTCGGATCGCCGCTCTTTCTGTCGCCGCCTACCGTTGCATTTCCACCAGATGTGACTGACCGCAGACTCGAAGGGGCCGAGGCCAGAACCCGCCGCCGATGGAAAAGCATTTGTAAATATTTGTCACGGTCCAGACGAGAGTAAAGATCTTTTAAACGTTCTCGAACATGCAGAACTAAGCAGATTCTGTTATTTGGTTTTGTACATTTTGGAGATGGCGAAGTGTGTCGACTGCAGGCCGACACCATGAAACCGGAGATCCCTGCAAAAGTTGAGCCCGGTCTGTGTGTGTCCCCCCTCTTCAAACCGCTGAACTGTAACAACCCTGAAATGCCAGTTATCCGCCTTCCATCCCTCCAGCTCCTGTGAGGGGCGGCTCTTGTGTGATCGGCTACACCTGGAGGGGTCAGGGGGCCACGCCGGGGCTCCTCGGCGGGCTCGCTGCATCCCCAGACAGCTGCTGTAAAATGAAAAAGGTCACGGTGGGATCAGGGAGGAGGAGAGCGCAGGCCCCAGTCACTCAATACTAATGTTTTATTAATGCCTCGCTGTGAGGGCCACCAGGAACACAAGCTGAAAGGGGCTTTTATTGGGGCATCTGTGTACAACAACGCCTCCCCTCCCTCCTCCTCCTCCCGCGGCTCAGACTCACGGTTAGCGTTAGCACGTGCACGCACACTTCGTCTCCGCTCCCTTGAGTAATCAATCTGCCACATTACAGCCCTCAGCACGGCCGCTCGCATTTGCATAAACCTAATAGAGTTTTTATTGGTCTTTTCTGCGTGCTGAGAGCAACAAAAAGGAAAAGGGAAAGACGATGCCTAAAACGGCTGAATAATCACCCAGACTAATTTGATTACAGCCTTAAAAAAGAGACGAGCTGTCATACAGTTCCAGGGGCCTCTTCAGAGAGCCAGCTGGGGTTGGACGGAGCATGTACGCCGGGTAATTAATCTGAATTACGTAATATTTGCTGAAGCAGCTCTGGAGTGGCCCTTATTCAGTCATAGGTGCTCTTTGTTCCTGGAAGTCTCTGCGAGGACTCATCAAGACGGGCCTCATTATACTTTTTAGAGCCGCGCCGAGACGCCACCGGCTCTGAGCTCATCCCCGAGATCCTTTATGCGCCCCGCTGGAAACAATGCAAACTCATGTAAATGAAGTGACTGTGATTCATACGTTGGTCAATACAGTGGAATCCTAGGTGGTCATTAGCAAGCACGACGCGAGCGCCTCGTCGCTCACGAGGGACGGATAAAGAAAGAGGACTCGGCTTCGGTTCGGGGTCATCTTGGCTAATTGGGCTCCGAGAAGACGCAGATGTGATCCAAGGTGCAAAAACAACCGAAGCTCCTTTCAGACGGCGACCGAACATGTCGTGAATGGACCCCCTGCGGTTTTCTGGAAAAGTTGCAAACTTGCGAACGGAGCGACGTTTAGGATTCAGCACGGCACAAGTCTGAACCGGTCACAGTGAGGGGAAGAGGAAAGTTTCCAGCAGCAAAATATCCAGCGAAAAAAAAACATCACAGAGAAAACAAATGAGACAGTTTGCTGCCAAAAGCACAATTTCTGAAATGACATGCTCATAAAAACAACACTTTAGACACTTAGATTAATGATAGTCACCACGAATGAGTGCAGCTTGTTTGTTTTCCTACAAGATGTTAACTTGAGCTGATTGTAGGAGTTCTTCCTCTGCAGGAGGGATATGAGCATCTCCAGAGCAGGAGAGCTGCACCAGAGCAACATCAGTAATTACTTCTAAATTGTAAATTAATCACAGAGATGGAGACTGAACTTTAGTCCACATCCGACAGTTCAACACAGAGTCACGATTTAATTTGTTGCTTCCGGCTGTTTGTAGGAGTTTTTCCTCACAGTTTAATAAAAACCTGCAGCATCAGACGGCAGTTGGATGAATACGAGTGTCTCCAAAGTGAGGAAGTTGTGCAAATTTTGTTATTTTCTTAATAATCATAAAGGATCCCTGATATGGAGAAAGGATCTGTACAGTCCAGTCTTGCGTGAACACCTGTGCCGCTGTGGGTTTGTCACATTTAAAGTGACTTATTCACTTCAACAGACTGATAAAGCAGCGTCTGAAAAGGTCTTTAAAGAAGAAGAGTGATGAGATGCAGGCGTTTAATAAATGTGACGTAAGACGTGTTAGAGTACCCAATAACTTTAGACTCTCAGAGAACCTTGAAGTTTGTTTATTGTCTTCTCGTGTCCAACTCGAGTCAAACCTCCGAGTGCCAGATCTAATCTCTTCATATAGCCGCGGCCCATCTGTTTGCTCTGCTGGAGCGCTCAGCGCGTCGCTACTCCTGCAGCGAGCCTCTCACAGAGGGCGCCCGGCTAATTCCTGGGTTACCGTTATGAGGTGAAGGTGAATTTACTTCCTTTTTTTTTTTTCTTTTTTGCGCAGCGATTTGCATTTTAACACAGAGCTTGAATGCAAATCAGGATGACAAATAATTCTGGCCGGATGTGTGGGTGAGAGGTGTAGCCGACGGAGCCCGGCGTAGCGTGTAATTGACCTTGACATGACAGGTAATAATGAAGGCACTGCCAGAGCACATTCCCGGTGACAGCGGCTCCCTTGTTGTGGCTGACGGAGCTGGAGTTTGATGGTGGGAGACGGGGAGGGTGCTGTTTGACGGATGCACCGGTGGTGACAGCGCGCCGCCTCAGTGGGTCTCTGTGGAATATACTTTCACAACACAGTCTGACTTTTTGTCCTCCACTGGGGAAAGTCAGATGCTGGTTTTTTTTTTTTGCCCACTTCAGGTCGTGTTTTTGGCAGGACAATGCTGCGTATAAAAGCCCGCTCTCACTGCTTATGAAACGGTGATTTAATGCCACAGTTTGAGCACACTGAAGGCTCTTCATCATGTGCACTTGAGAGAGATTAGAGCAGCAGAACTCCCCGTGCTGGCAGTGACCCATGCACATGTCCACACAGGGCGAGAGCGCAGTGGAAACTTACCATCAGGCCTGCAGTTACATGTGATACGACCAGTTGCCGCCACTGTTGCTCTCCTCGGGCTTTGATCAGGTGTTTTCGCTTTGCCATCGGAGCGCTTGGCAGCAGGACTAAACGTTAAACGGTGACAAATTGGAGTGATTGTTAAAGCAACAATGAGCTGACAGGAAAACAAAAACAACACTGAGCAGAAAGGTACGCTGGCAGCGGGACTGGATCTGCCAGTCAACGCTCAGGCTGCGTTCCAGATCGCACACTCTGTCTTTCAGCAGCTGCACTTACACAGGACGTACTGTTTCGTGCGGTGTACAAACAGCCAGGACGGGCTGCCGGGTCGTAATCATGCGCCTTAAACTTTGAGCGTTGCGGTGTGAAATGAGCTGTCATGTGTCTCTGCCTGTTTATACTCGTGCAGGACACCTTGACATGCGTGACGTAACCGAAAAGCTGCAGAATTCTGCTGCATGTAGAAGGACATCCGGGTGATACTGGGACGAACCCTGAGTGGTGAGATGACCGTGTGGTTCTGCAGCATTTGGACGAGCCCGGGATGTTCCCCGTCCAGATTAAAAGCTGAGCCTTTCTACACACTTTCTGGCTGTTTACAGTAACTCGATCACTTCGTCAGAGAGAACACTGAACATACGTCACACCCCGGTCGCCCTCAGGAACACTTTCCTCAAGGAGACGACTTGGCAAGTAACGCTTACGAAACAACAGTTAACTTCAGGCAACAGGCTGGTTTTACTGGTGACTGGAATCAGCACAAACACCAGAAACTCTCCACAACATGTTTATCTTTCCCATGTGTGGACGTTCAGGTGATCCAGTGTTATCATTTCAGCATCAGGTTTTTTTTAAAAAGGGGTTTATGTAATGTTATTTAAAGGACACAGAGTTTGTTGACCTGCAGGCTTTCTGTGTGCACAGAAAAATGAATGAAAAACTAGGAGAGGAACAGCGAAAAGAGAGATTTGACTGCAGAAGTAAACACAAGAAAGGCAACAAAACTAATTTATTTAATCATTTAATCACCGCCAAAGATCTGAAGGACGAATGCAAAGCCAGATCTGATTAGAAAAGATGTTTTGTTTTCGATCTACTTCCCTGCAGAATCTTCCCAGTCATTCTAATATGATTAACGTTTTCCAGATAAAGTTATTCCAGTCATCTGGTGTAAATTCACTTTATTTTATTTCCTGCAATGAATTTTGCAAAAAAAAAACAAAGCATCACAGTGTTTTATCAAGTATTTTGCACACGTACATTTCCAATAATCTCTCACGATATTTGGTGAAATCAACAGACTTTTGACTATTAGTGTTGGCAGCTTTCTTCAACAAAAACAACTTTAAAGAACCTTCAAGTATTCTTTAAATAATTTCGACGGCGCCCAAAGCTTTCGAGGCACCGAGAGAAACCCCTGTGATCTGCAGTATTTGTTCTGTAGCTGTTGCTCGGAGGTGGATCGTCTAACCTTTGCACAGAGCCGGGCTGCCGGCTTTTGTTGTTTCTAGTCTTTGTGCGGACTGTAGATTCCTGTTTAACACAGAATTATGCTAATCTTGTCATTTCAGTCTCGGAAAGACGGCGAGTAAACCAATTTCCCAAAATGTCAACAGTTATTGTACTTCTGAAAAGTAGGTATTAAGAAGGAAAAAAGCTGAAACGCTCTGAGGCTGAAACTCGACTCAGATAAAGATAAACAGGCGGGTTTGTGCCTCGAGGTGATTCAGGAGATGTGCGACATTTTCTATGATGCAAAACAAACTCTAATCAACAGTAATTCTTCAGCGTACAAGCAGAAAGTATTTTCTAATCTTAACCCTGTTTGTAGCCTCTTGCTGCCTCCCTCGCGTTGAGTCTTACTGCTACGCTTCAGGCAAAGTATTCACAACAGTCACGGATGCGTTCGGATCAGCGGAGGCTTCAGCAGGAATCAGTCGGCTTTGTCGGCCGTGGAAATGGGAGCTCATTAGGTTATCCAAACAAACCCCGGCAGAGCCTGGATGTTAACGCTGCTCCTGCTGGAGAGGAGCCGAGTTAAAAACATGTAAATCAAGACGTGAACGTCCACGTGTCCTCCACTTAGAAACACATCCAGTGGAGCGTTCCTATAGAACAGCAGGAGAGGAAAATGAGCCATCTGAGGACGCAGGGAGCCAGAAATGAGAGATTCCAAAGAAGGCATCAGCATGTTTGAAGTCAAAAATTGGTGCTTGCAGATGCAGGAATTTGAAAATTGAACCATAAGAAGGCCTCATGCTGCGTGAATTATATCCGGATAAAGAGGATGAGCAGATGCTTTTGGAATATGTGTTTTATCTGAGTCCAGAGAAGCTTATTTTCGCGGCGGGGTCCTCTCTGCGGATTTTTTTTTTTTTATTACCTAGCAACATAAATGACTGGAGCAGCTTAATCCCACATGCCAGGAGGACTCTGGTGAAATAATGCCCTGTTCTGAGGCGTTATTAATGCTGTGTGGGTAAGCCTGATAAAATGGCACCGTGATAAGCCGACGTGTAGCCCGCAGGACCCGAGAACGTCTCCGGTCATGTGTCAGGGATTCGCAGAGTCCTTGTGCAGCAGATTTCACAGGACCTGAGCATTAATCTTCTTCTGTCTCTTTCCCCAGATGAGCGAGGTGGAAGAGGAGGAGGAGGAGGACAGGGTTTTAAGTTTTCCCCTCGTGGCTCCAGACTTTCAGCTTCAGAGTCGGTGGAAACAGAGACTCTGGAGGTCCGCGGCCTCCCTCCAACCTTTAATTCCTGCGTGACTTTCCCACGTCGCCCCTCGGACTCGTTGCCATGCGGACAAGCGGGGGATTCATCAGACGTGTGGACACAAACCCGCCACCTCCGGAGGGGCAAATAAGCTACTGTGACTGCATCAACCCGCCATCATCTCACCGGGCCGCGCCGATTGTGGCTTCTGTCGGGCGTTCACTCAGGTGTAATTTATTTGGACTGCTGATGGACTGAATTAGACCTTTTGCCGTGCCGGCTGCGTTGGAGAAGGAGGGAAGAGGACGTTCGGGGCGGGGGAAGCGTATGATTTCGTGCTCAGACACAATCTTCCTGTCTGTATTTTTAGGCTCTGGATTTTGGGCTTCCCTCAATTTTGGTGAGCTAAATTTGTATCTTCCTCCTCGACTCAAAATACAAGCTGAAGAACGAATGAAGGCTGAAGGAGACACTTTTCTAACTTTGTGTTGTTGTTTTTTTCGTGTGCGTCTCAGGGTTATGTGTATATTTTTTTTGTTGCCTGTGTTCGTTCAAAGAAGGGTTACATCTCTGTCTCTAAAAATGTTTTTTGTGAATGTACTTCTTATTTGTTTTACAAAACTCTTTCGTGTTTAGAAGATTTATATGATGATGCGTCACAGCAGAGGTCATGTTAAAAAACTTAAATATTGCCAAAACCTGAATAGCTAACCTTAGCGTTACTATGGATTTAAATAACAAAAGCTAAGCGTGTCCTACGTAGTTAGCGTCGTAGCTGTAATGTTTTTATTTTTGAATATCTTTATTAATGTGTGTATAGTTTGTATATTTGCTTTGTAATTAATTTGTAGAAGCCTTTGATTTGCACAATTTGTACAAAGAAAATGTCTTAATGGTCTTAATTTTGTATCTTCGTCTTAACCCGGCCCGGGTAGTGTGAATAATCGAAGCCTTTTTTGTAGCAAACTATCAAGTCGCTTCTCTTTCGACAGTCTTCATTTGGTCTCGGTCGGATACGCCGACACACTCTTACTGATACGCAGTCTGTTACTTCTTGCTGTGCTGCTCCTAACTGGTCAATAAACGTCATCTTCTCGAGCAAAGCCTTGTTTGTTCTGGTGCTTCATAGGAAAGGAGTGGAGCTCAGCCGCCGTGTCATTAAAACAGCCGTATAATCACACAGGTACTCTTCACATGCTTCACATAGTTTCCAAACGCATGTTAGGAGTGGTTTTGGTATTTACCAGAAGCAAACGTCTCCTTCCTGTCGTCTGTGAGCTCTGAACGTTCGCTGGATTAGAAGTTCATACTCTGGCTTGTTATAGAGCAATCACACATTTACCCCCTTTGAAGAGTTAAATTTAAATATCTTAACACTGTTTAATCATTATTGTTTTATTTTGGCTTTATGACGAAGGGAAAAAAAGATTTCTCCACAGTAATGACAATTAAATGAGGACATGAAGTTTTGCAATATACTTTAACATTGCATAAGTTTTTCAGCTCTTTTAAAGCAACTTACCTAATTCAATTGGTGCTAAAAGTCCCACAATTAGTGAAATGGATCATCTGAGGTCAGTGAATGAGTCTCAGTGATTGTATCTGTATGTGGAAGGTCCAGTCAGTGGTGGGTCAGTACTGCTGGATGGAGCTACACCATGAAGACTAAAGAACACTCCAAGAAAAGGTTGTTGA